CCTAGCAACCAAACGAGCGGCCCAGGGGGGGGCGTCACCAGATGCTACAGTATCCTAGCAACCAGCCACCTGCTACGTCTTCCCTAGCAACGGAGTCGAGAAACCGGCGAGTTCCCACGGATTTACTTCCGGCTGCTGTGTATATAAGCTCTGTCTCTCCATTGAGATTCATTCTGGCCTCGGTTCCTGAACACGCAACACCTCCTCCTCCGCCGCTGCCTGGCGGCCCTCGCTTCTCCTCCGCCTGCCTGGCGGTCCTCGCTCCCGCCGGCGAGCATGGCGACCCACCAGCTGTCCTTCTCTGAGCGTCCTCACCAACCAGCTCTCTTATTCTACTCTACGTTCCTGAACACGCAACACCTCCTCCAAGCAAGCTCCTCACTATCCAGCTCTCATTCAACCTGGAGGCCAGCAACAGGCAACATCTTCTCTAACGAAGCTCCTGCACATCTACCTCCTTCAGCACGCTACTCACTGAACGTGTCTACTGAGCAGCTCCTCACCACATGGCATCTCCAGCACCAGACTGTCTACCATATAACTTATAGTATATAAGAAAACCACCACCTTAGAGTTTCCATCCATCCTGAGTGCTAGACAACATAATATCACGAAACCCTACAAAGGCGTTGTAATACACACTGGCTCACGATGTGCTATTGAAGCACTACAATGCAGAGAGCCTAGAGACAACATTCATCTCATAACATCCGTTGTTGGCCTACTGCAAGGGTTAAAACTACAAGATCGGCAAGTTATCATTAACTGGGTGCCCAGTCAGATCGGAATCCCAGGGAATGAACGAGCTGATGCTGCTGCCAAGGCTGCGTTAGGGCAGCGAAACGTTGAGATGAACATCCCGCCCAGTCAGGAGCAGATAAAGAAGACCACAATAACACGAACTGCCCAGTGGAAAATGGACAAACATAGAAGATTAACACCAGTGTCACGATCGGCCAGGTGGTATTATCTGGTCACGAATTATGAGAGACCACCACTCATGAAGGATATAACAAGAAGGGAAGAAGCCATCTTCCACCGACTGAGACTGGGATACCCATGCATATGGGAAATCATTATACCAGTACCAGCAAAGCAGCGCATGTGCAAGACCTGCGACAGCGGAGCAGAAAACTCACTGCAGCGCTACATCATAGTGTGCCCTGGAACACAATTAGCTAGGAGAAACATACACCCTATCACAGCAGAGAAGGTTGCCAAAATGCTAACCGCTCTCAAGAAACCCTACAGTTTCTTACCGAGCATCCACCCCCCATGCGAGTGGTGGAGATGTACAGTTAACTAAAAAGATGCTGGTGTTTTATCCCAGCAGTGGGTGGACCAGTATTCTAGCTTAAGGTCCGCGTAGGTATTATTCATACCAATCTTAAAAAAAAAAAATCCGTGAAGGTTATATTCAACTCGACGCTCTCGAGCTGACAAGACCTCCTCTCAAGCAGCTCCTCACCACAAAGCAACTCCCTAGCACAGCATTGTACATGCAATACATATAGAGTTACGGTATTCCGAGTTTCCTTTCTCACCTGAGTGCGAGATCTCCTTCATTGTACGTGTGTATGTGGCCCTAAAAAAGGAAAAAATGACACAACAAATATAACTTTGACTAGTGCGCCACATACGCTACTTTTACTTACTTTTATCCTCTTCTCCACTGATCGGCTCGTTAGCCGCTTGGGCGATCGGTCACTTCTCTGTTACTTTTCCTTTTCTTTTATTCTCTTTACCAAATGATCGACTCGTTAGCCACTTGGGCGATCGGCCACGTCTCTGTCACGCACTGTTGGCAAGTACTGGGCATGCACCGGCTCCTGAATGTACCTGAACCTGCTCCAGTGTTGGTCAAGTCTTGTCTTGAAAGAGCTCACACGGTGCTGTCACAACACTTTCTGGTAGATTGTTCCAAGAGTTCACAACTCTCACTCCGAAAAAAATTGCCCTCACAGTTTTCTGGATTTGCGGCTTCTTCAATCTTGGGCTGTGACCCCTTGTCGGGCGAGCGTCCGCCAGCTCCAAGTAAGGACACTCGACTGAGTAGTGCCCCTTGAGATGCTTATACACCTCAATTAGGTCACCCCTTGCCCGTCTGTAGTATAAGCTAGGCAAGTTTAGGCGCTCCAATCTCTCAGGGTAGCTGAGGTGCCGAAGTGCAGGCACCAGTCTGGTGGCCCTCTTTTGAAAATTTTCAACCAACCGACAGTCCCTAGCATATCTCGGGGACCAGACGGGGTGACAGCACTCCAGATGGGGAAGCACTTCACTCTTGAAGATCAATACGAGGGACGGACCGTCTAGATATCTGAAAGACCTTCTTATAAGACCCAATAATTTATTTGCCTGATTTACCTTCTTATCGCAATGGTCCGATAACATCAGCTCATTGTCAACATAAACACCTAGGTCCTTCTCACATTCAGTCTCAAATAGTGCAGTTTCTTCATCCCGTTGGGACATATGATACGCCTCCTTACCGTTGGTACGCCTCAGGTGCATCCTCTTATACTTCGTGACATTGAATCTCAGCAGCCATTTCTTCGACCATTCTTGGAGCCCACAGAGGTCCTTCTGCAGCTCTTCACAGTCCGCTTGGTTCTTGATTTCCCTAAATAACTTGGCGTCATCGGCAAACATTTGTATGGAAGAGTGTACAACGTCAGGCATGTCATTTATGAAACAAACAAACAACAGCGGGCCCAATACACTGTCCTGTGGTACCCCGCTTATGTCAGGTACGGATGATGATTTCGTGCCATTAATCACCACATACTGCTTGATGTCATGTAGAAAGTCTTCTATCCACGCTAGGACATTTCCCCGAATTCCTTACCCTTCCAGTTTGATTTTCAGCCTTTCGTGGATTACACTGTCGAAATCCTTGGCAAAATCTAGGTAAATATTGTCGATATTACCACCCCGTTCCAGAATATGGGTCCAAATATCCAATACCTTGAGCAATTGTGTTAAGCAGGAGCGCCCAGGCATAAAACCGTGTTGGCAATCCTTTACAAGGTTGTTTCGTAGTAGATGTTCCATTGCAGCATCTCTGATAATACTCTCAAGTACTTTACATATTATGCTGGTCAGGCTCACCGGTCTATAGTTGTTCATGGAGTGACGATCGCCCTTCTCGAAGATAGGACTCACATAAGCCACTTTCCATTCACTGAGGACCTTTCGTTCATCCAGGCATTTACAAAACATGATCTTCAGGGCTCGGGAAGCTCGTTGCTCAACTCTTTTAGCACTCTAGGATGCACCATGTCAGGGCCTGGACTCTTATGGACCTTCAGCTTTGACAGTTTATTTCTAATACCCTCTTCTGTGAACACAATGTGGGTCAGTGCTGTGTCGAACCGTCTGTCCTCAAACGCAGGAAGGTTAATCGCATTCTCTCTTGTGAAGTTGTGAACAGTATAGATTCTGTTTGTTTTGTCGGAGAGTGACATGAAGATTTGTCAACTGTTTGAAGGAGCTTGTTCCATTGTTTATCTGGACCATTGACCTATGTGAAGTGCCAGATAGTATTAATATTAACACATGTGAGTGCTGCTGTGTACAAAGCCGAATTAAGGACAACAGGAGCCAGGGCGCAAGCGGTCCGACTAATTACCCAAATGTAGCAAAATGTAGCCACAATGAAGTCAAATAATGGTCGGACCCAGGGCAAGGGTTCATTTAAGGAGCCCTTTTGGTACTTTATACTTCACCGTTTCCGTCTTTTTTACTGCATTCAGAGTCACCGTAATATTACGTTCATACTCCTCTCCCAATAAAAATAAATAATGGGATCTGGAGAAACTGAAACATCGCTGCTTAATTTGCTTGTTCCGAACAAGTTGGTCGTTACTGTTTTGGGAGCTCTCATTGGCAATATTGCCAAAAAGGTCATCATTCAATCGCTCTAGATTTCAGAAAGTTTAACCTACTGTATATATCTTAGAAAATGAAACGTTATTCTTGTTTTACTAAGTTGCCTCGCAAACGTTGTTCCGGGTTCAATTCTTAGCCCGCCGCCAGCGTTGGCTGTGATGGGAGGGCGTTATTCTATGTGACCTCACTCATCATCGCAGGTCCTCCTTAGCTCTGGACAATGAAGGTCGCAACAAAGAGAAGACCGCCCGGTCGAAAGGCTGGTGTGGGGTTCAGTATTGTTTGGTGTTCACACTCAGGATGGGTTGGAGAAAGGAAACTCACAATGTGCTCTCTATATACATGTTGTATTGGATGTACAATGCAGCTTGGTGCTGGGAAGGCAGCATGGTTACAAGCGTGATGTAGAGAGAGCTGGTTGGTGAGGACGCTCAGAGAAGGACAGCTTGTGGGTCGCCATGCTCGCCAGCGGAGGAGCGAGGGCCGCCAGGCAGCGGCGGAGGAGGAGGTGTTGCTGGCTGCGGCTGTTGGTAGAAAAAGAGGCAGATCACCACGAGGTCAGGTCCTAAATAGCGGGGGTAGGCGTGGCTTAGCAGTTGACCCCCGCTCCGTGATGTATGGCGACGCTGGTTGACCTAGACCACGAGGCATACACTGGGGAATTGGTGGGGTCGGCTAGGCAGCGACAAACAGCGTTTGTAGGGGAGAATTCCACTACACTGGTAAGCGGATGAGTGGTGTATAAATAAATAATAAAACATTTATTTTAATGGAGAAAAGACTGATAGCAATAAAGTATTCTTGTACAAAATACAGACGTACTACTGAGATGATTAGTGTATAGCGATTGAGTAACTATCTGGGTGTCCACATAAAAGTTGCTTTAGAAATTAATTCAGTAGGTAAGCATATTTGAAGATTTTCAAGTACAGTAGTAAAATAACACTATGAATACAGTTGTGATAGAATTCAATAACATGTGAAGAAGGCACAGATGTTCCGGGAGGGCTGCTCAGTAGGGTTGAGGAAGACTAACAGGGTAGTTGTAGTGAAGGTAGTGGTGATGCTCACTTGTCCTACCCTGGAGCAACTTCCCAGTCCTCTTGCTGCTTCCTTATAATTTGTGTTTACATGCCACAACCACTGGAAAAAAATACGGAAAATTACACATTATTTATTAGATTATTACCCACCATACTACAGCAAACTCAAACAAGGTGAGAACTGTGTGTGTGTGAACTGTTTATTCTAAAATTGTAGATTGTTTTTCAATTTAAATTTTAAAGGTTCTAATGTAAAAGAATTCAATTGAAAAATGAAAAGATTCAGTTTGATTTACTAATACTTATTTACCTGGGGAATACTTACCTTTTCTACACATGCACATTTAAACCACTTACTGTTGACGAATTATAAGCTTAATATTCGATTAATGCCTGTGGAAAGATTTTTTATATTTGGTTATTCTAGAATTTTTAAAACTGGATATTTTGCTGTGACTGGCTAAGTTCCTACTAACGCTATTTTACCGTGAGTACACTCTGATTGGCTAAGTACTTTCTGTTTAATATGACGGTGGGTCCACCCTCAAGCTTGGAAGTTAGGTAGGTTTCTTTGGTTGGTTAGGTTAGGTTCTAGTAAATGTCGCGGTAATTAATCGTTTTAGCACACCCTCGAATTTTGTTCATGAGATGTTTGGTTTCTGATGTGTCTTGATGGGTTTTGTTCAGGTCTGACCTTCGTTTCCACGGGTAATATGTCTTTTTAAAATAAGTTGCAAGTCATCCTTGATCAGAAATGGCTATTTTCCATAAAAAACGAAGGTGAGAGCTGAACAAAATATATCCAAATACATCAGAAACCAAACATCTAGACTCCTAACTTTTACTAAATTAGCCTATCTTAACCTAACCTAACCCCTGCGGGGGGCCTCATGCCTCACGGCTCCAGACAGCTCGCGGTGGGACAAAAAATGGCAGGTGGAGATTTATTAATCTAATTTCTTAGGCATTCCTCACTTGTGCAATTTTTCTGAAAGAAACCTGTTTCCAAGAGGATTCATGGGTTGAGGAGTGTATATATGAGATAGAAATTGCCTAAAAGTAAGTGCTTTTATGAGATTTGAAGATGTGCTAAACCGAATAATAAGAACACCTGTGGAAAAATTAACAAAATCAAGCAACTCCTTCTGGTGGTAGTGCTGTTCTCAGAAATAATCAGCAACCTACCCCACAGGTTGCATAGCCATAATGTTAGACCACTAGGTTAGATTAGACCCTGTTAGGGTAAGTTAGGTTAGAGAAAGTTTCACCAATTCAAAAACTCACCATTGCTTAAAGATTCGACAGAGTACATACTGTACAAATAAGTGGACAAAAATGGATTTATCTCGTAGGTAAAGATGGAGCGGACTGTTAGCACCTGAACATGTTTATATATTTCCTTTATATTTTTCACAGTTCTTTGGATGATACTGTGTAATAAAATTGAAACACCAACATTGTAGTAATTTTTCCTTTAATTTATTCCTAGGTCAGTGTAAAAACACTGCGAACACTGATTGGATGGCGGTAATTTCATGTCTACTTGCTTTGTAGGTGAAGAAATAAATTACTTACCGTAATTATGTTGCTGTCGGATATCCTGTGGTGAGCTTGACTAATTACTGTACTTCAAGATGAAATTTCTTTGCAAGCATAAATCTCTCAATAGATAAAGTACTGTCCTCTGATTGTTCAAAGCTGATCACGTGAAGCTTACGTGAATGAGAATTGAATATAATACAGTATCCTGTGAAAATGGCTGCAGTGAACTTAAAATTTGTCAATGTTGTTGTAATCTGATCCTGGTCATATCACATTCCAATTAAGTTAACTTGTCTGGTTTTGTATGAGAACAGGCAAAAACGAGAAGGAAATCACTTTACACTGTATTTTCTGAGTCCATTGATTAGATGATGTAATATTGGGTAAATATAGGTCTTATTTTAGGTTAGGATCAGAGCAGGTTGCCAAACATTTCTTTTTTTTTCAGTGTTTTAACCACAAATTTTCCCTCGTTTTCGAAGCCCTACCCACTTTGGGAAAACCATTGCTGTTGCTAGTGCTGAAAATAGTCATATTCTTTGAAGAAACTATCAAAAACATTGGAAAAACCCTTTTTTGTTTGTAATTTCCAATTAAGTACTCAACTGAATCTTTACCCACCATTGTACTGTACTGCAAAGGGGTGTGCCCATTTCATCACCAACCCATTCGTCACCACATTTTTTACCCATTTCGTCACCGCGTTCATTCCCATCACCATTTCAAGGGCTTTGGACCTTCATTGTGTATTCACTGAAGCAGTAATGTGTACATACATTGGATCATGCAAGCATCTCATGACAATTTAGTAAAGAAAAAACAACAACGTTATTACTCATGCAAGCATCTTATTAAAACAATTTATTCGTCTAAAATAAACCAAAAATAAAAACATTATTAATACGCCTACAATCATCTCACTTAAACAATATGTTTGTCATTATTTCCTTTTCTTGTGCACGATTTTAGCTTGTTCTCAACAACTAGTTGTAATTGCAAATCAACCATTGAGACTTCTCTGTGAAGAAGAGGGACAAAGAGGTATAGAGCGAGATTGTTCTTTGCTGCTTGGTGGTTTATGCGCTGGTGCCAGCCCGCAACATCATTATTTGTTCTAACCAGACGTCGGAAACCATACCAATTACCGAATGACCAGACCTTGTTGTTTAGCCATGTTTGGCTCATATAATCAGTGAGTTTCTTGACGAGTTCTGACTGTTGTGCTTTTTCTTGTAGTTCTTCAAATGCTGGTCTGATGTGGCGTTTAGGCAAAGTAGGGGAGAGCTGGGAATTTACGCACAAGATCATATACTGGGCCACGTTCCATATACTGTACGCAGTTAGTCACGTGGCAATTACAACCAGTCTTATCACCAATGTAAAATTCAATTAAAATACACATTAGTTATCTATTTGCTGGTAGTAGTCACCAATACAATAACTTTTTGTTAACATGCAACAGGTTATGTGGCCCAGTAAGGCTGGGCATATCAAAAAGATCAAATAATAAAAAAGCTGTTAATTAACCGCCAATCGTTTCCATCGAGTGGTTTGCCTGATAATTGCCCGTTGTTTACAGAAATCCCCTGACAGTCTGACTGCATCCCTTTCTGAAGGTGGTGAAGAAGAAATCCCCTTCATTTGTTCTGTATTTTGTTTATTTACCATTGTTTTAATATTCATGTATAATAATAACACAATAATTCCTGAGTCATCTGTAAACATGTGTAATTTCTATTCGTGTAAAATAATAACGAACAATTTATCACTCTAATACCACCGACTGTTTCATCACCAGACCATTAGTGGTGACGAAACGGATTTGATATTGGTGACGAAATTTTTATTTTATTTTTTTACGACAAAATGGGTTTTTTGGTGACGAACCGGGTTGGTGATGAAATGGGGTGTATCGACACTGTACAATAGTTATTAATGATATAGCAAAGGTGATAAACACTCACAGATGTTTCTTAAAAGCTTTTGCTGTTCAAGATGGCTAAGGAGCACATATGTAAGTTTTACATGCACTGCACAACCTTTTTGTTCATGCTTGGGGTTATTTTGTTAGTGAAATTCATTTACTGTAAACTGTACATTTCAGTGTAGTCTGAGACCCTCGCAACTGTGTCTGTTGATCATTGTTTATTGCTCTGCTAAAGATGAAGAGGCACTTGGTCTTATTTTAAAATAAGGTCAATTCTCTTTGTGACCAGGTAAGTGATATGAACTGGTCAAACTTTCCAAACCATAATAATCTTAGGTTTTCTCTGTTGAGTTTGATATGTTGGGGAATTTTGAATGAATGAGGATTGAGTTCATTTTTATTATACTATACTGTATTGTGATAACTTTTGCAGGTTGCAGAAAATGTGGCAAATTTTTTTTCCGTAAAAGCAGTCTCATGTTAGACCTTAAAACAAAATGAGACTTTCTTGAGTGAGGATCAATGTGACATCATGGGTAACAAGAAGTGCCCATAAGTTAACTATCTAGCTACCATGAATTGTCTCACATATAAGAGACAGAGGACTGAAAATGGTGCGAAATAAGAAGGGGATTAAAATATGACAAGATTTACTTCAGTTTGCACTTAAATAAGCATGTGGAAGGCAGTTTTATGATGAAAAGCTTCACAATGGACTGGAACCCCTACTAGGAAGGTGGTGCTTCTTGACAGTGGAACAGCAAGACTTAATCCATTCACCATTGAGTGGTACGAGCACACCACTTCCTCCAGCACCTTCACAGACCGAGGTAATGTCACTATTTTTACTTTTGAATGCTTCTTAACTTATATTATCACTTGGAGCTATATCATGATGCTTATTATTTTATTACAGGTTTATTTATTTATGTTTGTGATAGAGAAATTGTGTTAGTACCCATAATAGAGTGTATTATAGCTTATTTGACAACTGTAAATTAGTAAATTGTGATTTTTACTTTAAGGAATTTGAAAGCATAAATAAATTTATTGAAAAATATTGAAAAATAAGGGCAGTGAGATGTAGTAAAACAGGACATTTCCATGCTCATGAATTTTTTTTTAGGAATTTTCATAAGTAATACAGTACCTGTAATAAGAAAATGTGCCTTGAAACAGGTGGTTTCACCACTGTGTAGAAATGAAAATTGAATTTCATTGTTTACACTGGGTAGAAAGTTGTTTAAGGAGTCACTTGCAGACAAGTCTCTTTTATATTAATGAAACTCAGCTGAGGGATATGCACTCATTAGTTCTTGTTTCAGTTTCAAAACTATGAAATTTTGTGATATTAAAATGAGATTTTAATCATAAAATGTAAACAGGACTATGGGTATCCATCATATATATATATATATATATATATATATATATATATATATATATATATATATATATATATATATATATATATATATATATATATATATATATATATATATATATATATATATATATATATATATATATATATATATATATATATATATATATATATATATATATATATATATATATATATATATATATATGGGAAAATGGAAAAACGGAGCACCTCTGAAGATGTCTTGAATAAAGGAAAGCTAAGGTGCTCCGTTGTTTCCATTTTGTGATTTTATCAAGATTTATCTTATCCACGCCATTGTGATTTACATTATATATATATATATATATATATATATATATATATATATATATATATATATATATATATATATATATATATATATATATATATATATATATATATATATATATATATATATATATATATATATACTGTATATACAGTATATATAATTACTCTACTGTATAAGTGTATAGGGTTCTGATGTGCAGCTCAGCATTTTGTAATTTCATATATACAGTAGTTTTAGTTTGGCTTCATGAATTTGGATTTTAAATAAGTACATTATAAATGTCATTTTAAGAGTATCAGAAGTACCAGTTGTCCTCATTACACACAATGCACTAAACCAACATTAATATCAAAGTTATGTTGACAGTACCGTGGTGTGTCTGTGAAGGATGTTCTTTACAGGAAATGTTTATCAAGTTTTGGGGGTATCAAGATAGTGGTAGCCTTTTTACAGTTCAGCTGTAAGGTTGATAGTCTTACATTAACACAGTTGAATTTTGCCTTGTTCCTCTCCATAATTTTGTTTAATTATATAACTGGTCATATTTAGAAGCGGGTGTTAATTTGTGACTACAGATGCAGATGGCAATTTGTCAAGTGTATCTCTATTTGTAAAGCTGAAATAATAACACTAAACATCCAATTTGTCATGTGCGAGAAGTATATCTTTAATATTTTCAAGTTGGAACACTGCAAATAATTAATCTCTGGTAAATGGAGAGAGTAATGTAGGAGGACATTTTCATAGTCCCCAGAGCGTGATTGAAAAAAAAGTGTTCTTAAAGTTGTGATATGCGAGTGGAGCTGATGATCAGAGATTTTGTGGACAGTGGCCTTCTAGGACTTGACATATAGTATGGTATATGTAGGCCTACAAGTGTGCCTTGAAACTATACCGTATATTGTATATGATGATGTTAACGATACACATGTTTAAGTTTGAAGTAGCATACTATATTGTTACTGTATTTGATTTTATTATCTATGCAGTACTGTACAGTATTTGCATTATGTTTTCATATTTTTATGTTAGTACTATATACTACAGGTATATGATATTTTGAATAGTGTGTAAGTTGAAGAAACACAAGGACAGAGACAGTATATCTGGAGGATATGTTAATTTGTTCACTTTGTACTAAGTTAACATACAGTATGTTGACTTTGTTAGCTCATTGAGTGACAGGGGTTTCTCTCAGCTGAATAAAATCATCTGATGTTAGCCAAAATAAAATACCTTAACCCTTTGGTGGGGAAAACCGAATACTCCCTGTATTTCCATCTGCCTGACTCTGTAATGAATGGTGAACGACAGAAGTTTTCAGCGTTATGTTGAAAGCTCTATTGGCAGTACAGTATACTCTTGATTTAATGGAATCTGATATAATGAACTCGATTTAGTGGAAAGATTTATTTCCGTTATTTTTCGCTTGATTTAGTGAACTAGTTCGCTAAATTTAATTTAATTCCATTAATACGCTGACACCTATGGAGACACCTTAGACACGTGATATTTACATAGAAATATTGAAACATTATTCATGGCTTACCTTAAATTAGGGGGTTTGGTGATTGTTTTAAAATTTTCTATGATTTCCAAACCTTTTTCCAATTGATAGCTGCACTCTTTTGATTTTCTCCCCCATACCTCTTTCTTTCTGAGACTTCTGAGAGACTTTCAGCGTGATGTCTAAGCACAGTACTGTAGTTAGTTGACTGAGAAGTAGACCGAGAAGTAGCAGTGAACAACACACGCGGGGGTGGCAGGACACAGACTGAGTGAATGTAAACAAACCCCATGCACCAAGTGGTGGAATATAACGGAATCACACTCGATTTCGTGAACGAGTTTGTTAAATTGAGCAAAAATAACGGAAATTCGATTTAGCGGAAATTTCGATTGAATGGAAAGGGGTGGCTCGAATTAGTTTGTTAAATCGAGAAAATAATGTATTTGGTGAGTGAGATTTGGGTTTGGCAGTTTCCAGAAGGTGCCATCATCTTTCAGTGATCTTTATTACTCACCTACTCAACTATCAGTAGCAGTCAGTGTTCCCAATTCCAAGTTTCATTTGGGTATTTCTTGATATCATTGGTACTAGTTTACACTGCGGATTTAACTCACACAGTACTAATAAAAGTAAATTTCAAGATTTGAATATTATTGTTTACATTCTTTTTAAATTTTTGTACATTTTATGGCATAATTTATATTTGAAGTTGAAAGCAAATATTTTTGCAAGATTTTTCATAAAAAAGCCAGTGGCATTGTACCATTCAAATTCTGTTCCAATGCTACAGACAGATGATGTATGGAAAATTTATTGTATATTTTATATGTAAAAAGGCAAAAAATTTAGAAAAAAATTGTTCAAGCTGTAACTATCTGGTAAAAAATACAATTATAAAAATTAAGGGATACATTTAGGATACCTTTCAATTCATCATTATGTGTATGTGGTACGTTTTGAATTTTAAAACGCATTGGCAGTGGCAGCTTGCAGCTAAGTTGAGTTTTGTTTTTAGTACTTTTTCATGCTAAGAAGAAAGTTTATGTTATATACTGATGGTGGTATGTTGGTGAGGCAGTTTAAAGTTTGCAATAGGTAAATATTAAAAAAAGGAATGGTGTAAGAGTCTAAGAAAGATGAGCATTAACATGGTGATAATAAAGATAAGTAGTGATAGTAAAGATAAGTAGAGACAGGAAGAGGTATAGAGGTTTACATTTACATTATAAAGGAGGAGATAAGGAGAAAGATAAGGTACCCGTACTGGTATCTTTAAAAATGGAAAATTCCCAGATGATGGCAGGAGAGTAAATGAAGTTTTGTATAGGAGTATGTAGAATTGTAAGGTTTGAAATGTGATTACTGTAGACTGTATGAAAAGATTGACAGCTATCAGCAGCTGAGTAACAAGTGGCTAGACTGGTTTTTTTATGCAAGTTGGGGATGAGAATTTGAAATTTTGGTTTTGAATTTTGAAGAAGCATATTAATAGTAAATAGGAATAGATCTTATGAATATTGTTCATGCATGATATCTATGTTTTGTAATACTGTGTGAATATATATATATATATATATATATATATATATATATATATATATATATATATATATATATATATATATATATATATATATATATATATATATATATATATATATATATATATATATACACACATATATACACACAGTATTAATATCTCCATTAGCCGGAATTGAAATTTTCCGAGGGGCACATTTTCCGGCTTTGGGAGAGTCGTCTCATTACCCAGAAATCTCTCATTCCCGAAAGTGCTCTGCACCAATTGTTCTGGCTAACGGAGATATCGCTGATATATTGTATTGTGAGATGCTTGCTGCTAGCTTTTTAGTTTTATCTATTTTATGTATACGTATTTTGGAAATGACTTATTTAAGGGGATGTGTAATTACTAGTACTATACACAGTATGTTTCCGTATTTTGGTGTAAGTAGACATTTTATTACTATAATATCTCGCTATTGATATTGTGTTCAAAATATCATGATTTTTTGTGTAGTAGTCAAGCCTTTGTTGTCTCTTCTTGTTCACTTTGCATGATGCATAAAAATTACCTCGTCAGATTTGCAATATGGGTTACAAATTGAAAACCTGTTGATTTATAGTAACTCTTAAATACTTTAGGAAGTCAGAGGTTCTATAAATTTAAGTGAATGTTCAATGTAAATGTAATATGACATTATTTAGAAATGAACATGGCAGCATACTGTACTATATATATATATATGCTGTAATATACTTCAAGTTTGTGTTACCATTGTTAGATACAATACTATGCTGATTAAATTCTTTGATCTTTGGAGTGTGAGGTATATTTTTATGAATCTCTATTACTCTACTGTACTGAATATTTGCTCTGAGTAGATCTCTCCATCCATATTTTGGACAACCCTTTATCCGAAATTCCGAAAACCTCTGAAAACCGAGTTTTTTTGTGGAGCAAAACTTTTTTTTTTTTTTTAAACAGGGATTAGCCCACCCGAGCACAGGTTCACTGACCCACATTGGGGCCTGGGGGGCTAAAATGTAATAATAATTATGATAATAATAATTATTCATAGTAAATAAAATTTATCAAAAAAATACAAAAAATAAAATAATAATAAAATAATAATAAAATTAATAATAATATTAATAACAATAATACTGTAATAATATAATAATAATAATGATAATAAAGAAATACCCGGTATAAGAATGAAAAAAAGATCAAAAGTGAGAAACACGACCTAGACCTATGAAGTACTGTACAAGTATTATTATTATTATTATTATTATTATTATTATTATTATTATTATTATTATTATTATTATTATTATTATATTTTAGCCCCTCAGGCCCCAATGTGGGTCAGTGACCTGTGCCCAGGTGGTCTGATCCCTGTAAAAAACAAAAAACAAAACTAACTAACCTAACCATTCTGAAATCCGAAAAATTCCAAAATGCATCTGGCCCCAAGGATTTCAGATAAGGGATTGTCAACTATTCAGTTCACCGGTTGGTTAACCTACACAAGGACTCGAGTAAATAATTATAGATTTTGGTATGCATAATGTATATACAGTACTATACACTTGTGATATATTGATATATACTCTATACAGTGATTGAAATGGAGAATTAAATGATTTCAGTGACCTTGTGATTGACTAAGACCAAAGACATACCATGTGAAAAAGTTATGCAGACATATATGAGAGAGTGGTCCCTGGTACATGATAATTATTGTTTTGTTCTACACAAAGATGAGGAAGGCAAGTTTACACGAGGCTTCCATTAGGGAAGATTACCTGTACTTGTCTGGAAAAAGTTCTGAACGGAGACACACTGTCAGTGTTCCCAGCCATTCCCATGGTAAGTTGGTGTACATAACTAATCTGATGCTTTCTGTAGAATAGTAAAGCTGTTGTAAATGCTCTTCTTTATAGTAAAGTTTTTCTTCAGCTTACTTTTTGATGAATTATTATGATAGCAGGTACAGTATGAGTTTTAATTAGTTATTACCATGTTAGAAACAAGAGCATCAAGTGTTTGTCATCAACAGTGTCACCACTTGGGTGTGTGGAGTAGCTGCTGAATGATGGTAAAACAACCCATAGAGGACTAATATCTTGCCAATGGGATGGAGTAACCTATTAGCCTACCTACATCATACTTGAAAAAGGTTGTTGTTGTATTTTCATGGATATGGTAGTTGGAGAGGAAAGAGATGATACAAGTTTGACATGTACATAATGGTATGGGACAGAAATAAGAGGTGACTCAGCTATTGTGTGCAGATGACACTGCTTTGCTGGGTGATTAGGAAGAACTGTTTCAGATTTTTTGTGAAGGAGTTTCAAAGAATGTGTGCTGGAAAAAAGTTGATAATGAATATGAGCAAAAGTGATGAAAATAGATAAAAGAGGCGAGACTTGGAGAAATAAATAGTAGATTAAACAGATAGAATGGAGAAAGTGTGTTTCATATACCTAGGAGTCATTCAGTTAGCAAATGAAATGATGAGTGATGACTTAACCACAGAGTAGCCGAGGGAAAGAAGGCAATACTGTACTGTGGGTACAACAAGAAATGTATGGAGAGGGAAAACTATCAGGGTAACAAAAGTTAGGGGATACATGGGAACCTTTGACCTGACTGTTAAACAGGTGGGAAGAATGGATTCTAGATGAAAGGGGAAAGAACAGATTACAAGCAACAGAACTGTTATACTTGAGAGTATTGTACATTATAGTACTGTATAGGATGAATAGAATTCAGAGAATAACAAATACAAATACCCTGTAGATGTGAAAGTGAAAGAATTTGGGTTTGCTGAGGTGGTATAGATGTGCAGTAGTGAGAGAATGGGACATGAAAAATGTGTAAAATGAGTGAATTACCGGGTACTGAGAGGTGAATTGTGGGCGAGTGAGGTATTACAGAGGAGGGATAAACATTCAGGAAGTAACATTGTACTGTACTTTCATGATTGGAGATCATTATTTTGTGGTAGTTCATTTGGGAGAATGTGCTGGTGGTGGGTGATGCTGGGTTGTATGAAGTGACAAGTATGGAAGTCATGAGGCCCTGGTGTGGAAGGGCAATACCAAAGTGGAACACATCAGTTACAATGACAGTGAATGATAGGAGAGAATGTAATGTTCTTAATTCTAACTACTTTATGCTATGGCTGGCAAGATTGAAAATAGTGTATTATTTAAATAAATTTACCAATTCCCATGTTAATGATGTTAATAGACCGTAATACAGTAAGCAAAATGTTAAGCATTATCATACAATGAGCATTCGTGTGTGGGCTGCAGCAAGGGCAGGTAAGGTGAAGCAGTCTGGTATGGGAGGTAATGTTTAGGCAATGTAGGGCGGGGGGGGCTAAGTATTCATTGTGGCTAAACTTGCATTAAGCAAAGATTCTTGGTTTCATTTTACTATAAGTGTCTGCCAAGCTCTAAGCATATTATATATGGTACTGTTCATATATGTGATAAAAGCATTTTCACTCATTTCTTCAGGCGGTTAATACTGTATTCTGTGTATTATACATACCAAGTACTGTACACAGCTTAATTGACATCACATGAAATTAATGTGCATTGCTGCTTGATGCAGACTAGATGCTCTTGTTTGTAAGTAAGCTGAAGAAAGAAGGAATCCTGATTATTATGATTTTTTTAAGTGTTTTCTAATAGTGTAGATGTGACCCTTTAATGTCTTATAAATGTGTACTTTATGAGGCATTCTTGTTCACTTTCTAAGTGACAATCACATATACTCTTTAAACCTTTAAATTGTGTCAAGTAGTGCAAGCTCCCCTTTATAAAAAAAAAAATCTAGTTCAATACAGCAAAACCCCCCAACTCAGTTGAATTCCGTATATCATCAGGAGGCCTCCCGATGAAAGGAAATGCAGTAAAACCTCACAAATTTGCATAGTAGCATAATGTCCAATATTATAACTGGAAACAGTACAGTACTTTGAGAATTACCAAAAATACGAGTGCCCTCATAAGATTATAGTAGAGAAATTAAAAGCATAATTGTTTATTTTAGTTACTAAAAGTATGAAGAATAAATAATTATGGTGATCTAAATAAATTTTGGCAGTTGGAGAGTTACTGAACCATTTAGAATCATCAGGTAGAACTTTTAAGTTTTACTATACAGCATTAATAAATACTGTATACTTATAATCCCTTGAGTACCACTGTGTTATACAACATTGTAATTCTTGCTAACCACTTCTTGATTTTTAATTGTGAAAGGAAAAATTTTCTATGCGTTTTATTATCATCATACTTTACATCAAACTCCTTTTTAATACAGAACTGTAGTAAAATAAAGTATTTATATTTTGGTTCCTTGAGTTATATTGAGGTTATGTGAAAACAGAAGAGTCATTCTATATTGAGAAATTTTTATTTACACATGAGGGATGAAAGAGTGAAGGAGGGAGAGTTTGTGTATGTGAAGGTACAGTGTTAGCTTTCGCAATAGTAATCTCTTTTGTAGTTGGAATTTTCTATTCCAGAACTTTCCAATAGCTGGAATGGAAATTGGCCAACATAAATTCTGGGATAACTTTTTCCTTTCTGGGTCTGTGAACGAGTTTCCGAGGATGAAAATCAAGTGCACTTTCCGGAAACATTCCAAGAAAATTCCTAGAAAATCTCTCCAAACTTCTTTTTTCTGGGTCTGGGAAAAATTTTTCCGGGAGTTTCAAGAGATTGCATCATCCTTAAACGCGTCCTCACTTGCCAGACATGTGGGTGGCCTAGCTGCTTGAATCGCTTAGTTCATATTCTGCTGCTTTTGTAGAAGGTTGTTCCCTTGCTAGCTGCTGTTTTTGCATACAATTTGTGTTTTGAAATATTGTACATTACTGTACCAGGACACAATCAGCCAAGAATACAGTGTTAAGATGTAAAATTCATTACAGTTACGTATGCTGTACTGTACATTCATTTAGTGTGAAAGTACCATATGCATAGACGAAGGGAAACACTTGGGTATCTTAACATTTGTCTTTATTAAAGACATCTGGTCATGAGACCCACGAATCTGCTGGTGAGTAGAGGATATATGGTACTGTACGGTAGTAGTATACAGTACATTATTTTGTTTATTTACAATATATTAGATGTGTACAGTACAGTAATGTTTGCAAAAGTAAATACAGCTCTGTGTCTGTTCATGTGACATGCGTACTTTAGACTCTTGGAAAAACTTTCCTCAGTAGCTACAGAGTGGAAAATTCCAGTCTTGGCTGTTACACAGGTCCATTCACGCCTCACATGCCCGTATCATAAAGATTTTTTTGTTTTTGTAGATATTTTACCAAACTTTTAGATAAACTATTCAGGATTATTTTATTGAAAAAATAGGGTTTCTAGCTCAATTAGAATTGATTTTATAGGCTGGTATAAAAATTTTTTACATTTGCTAATAAAAGAATTTATCCCATCATTATACTGTATTGTGTCAAAATAATTTGTTTAAGGATCTATCATTGAAAAAGTCTTGCAGAGATTGTGTTCAGGATCATTATGGTACCAAATTCATCTCTCTAATGCAGTTAGAACAGCTGTTGTGAATAAAAGTTTATACACTTTTTTGCTAGCCGTAAATAATGTATACAGTACTGTACAGTATTTGCTTGCAGCCTTGTACCTCAAAAAGACCTTCATATGATGGCCCGTATTATGTAGAATTGAGTTCTCATCATTATATAGTGTCAAAATACAGTAGTACTATACAGTATTTTGTTTAAGGATATTTTATTGAAACTGTCTTGTAGAAAACTTACTCAGGATCATTTTGTACCTAATTCATCTCTCTTAACACAATTAGAACAGATGCTGTGAATAAATGTTTACCGGGTATGCACTGTTTCGCAAGCCGTGAATAATTTTGGTCGTGCCCAGGGTCTAAATGTAATGGGAGAGTGTTTGTCCGTGCAAGATGAGATGCGTCGTTTAGACTCTCTTAGACTCTCTTAGACTCTCAGAAATCTTTCCCCAGCACCCAGAAACATTCCGGGGATGTGTGATAGTGACTGTCTTTGCGAGTTGCTTACAGTGCAGTATAAAGGAGATTTGTTCATTGTATAGTATTTTAAAGAAAACAGTATGTGTTTGTAGTCAGTTATGTATGTGTGTGCAATTGTTTTTGGTTTATTTATAGAACAGATTCAGTTTAGGAAACATCAACCACACACATTAACAGTAGATAGTGAACAACCACACACACACAGTAACAGAGTAGATAGTGAACACACACACACACACACAGTGTAGATTTCTTGAAAAAACATCAAATTATTAATGTTTTGTCCAACAAGTAGCGAGGAAGGATGCTTGACCTCTAACCTTTATATATCATTTATAAAGGAAAGACGTGAAGGTGTAGTGAGTTCTTTGAAGCATAAACATAGGTCCAGTACATGATTCACCATGCACATTAAGATTAGAAAATAGAAAGAGAGTACACCATAAAGTGGCTGAGTCTCAGACCTAGCTTAATATATATATTGAATTTATTTACATTTTTCTTTTTGATTAAAGTTAATTAGGATGGTGATTGTGAGAGATAAGACTATATATTCCAGGGTCATTATTAACTAATCTAAACTACATAATGTATGTTTATTCCTTGAAAAGAAATTAATAGAAGAACATCAATCCAGAGAATAATAGGCATGCAGCAACACTATGATGCTATATTGCCTTAAAGTTGAAGCTTTAATATAAGAACTTTGCAATTATGCATTCTCTTGAGCATGAGGATTCCTTGAGTAAACATCTCATGATGATGCTACTGTACTGGCATCTTGTAGGAGAAACAGATGTCAGTTGATGTTTCCTTTCATGATGCTAGTAGAGCTCCTATGAATTGCTGTTTAATTCCACCTCATTCCATACTTGTGAAAAATGCATGGAGCTAAATGGGATGTGATGTTTCCTAAAGACCCCGTTTATGATGTGTTGATTATTTTATTGTAGCCATTAGAATATTTTCTTATCTCTTTTATATCTACCTGGTAGTGTATTTATGTGTATAGGCTGTTTCAAAATCCAGGTATTTTGATTTAATAATAGGGTTTTTAGTACTGTGTATGAAAGGTATATATAGTATAAGCTTCATAGTTTTCAGATTTTTTCCTGAACAGTACAATACCGTATATGGAAAACCCATACAGTACAGTTTATCAGAGCCCCAGAGGTGGCTGCCATATTTGCACTCCAAAGGCTTATGTCATATCTGGACTCTAGAAGTGTTTTATCATATCTGAGCGAGCCCATAGGTGGCTATCATATCTAATCCCCAGCAGTGGCTATCATATCTGGGCCCTGGAGGTGGCTATCATATCTGGGTCCTGGAGGTGGCTATCATATCTGGGCCCCAGAGGAAGCTGTCATTTCTTGCCTGGGGTTTTTACAGTAGCCTGCCTCATTGAGCACTAGCATTTTCCTAATCTCTCGGAATAACAATTAATTTATTAAAAGAATACGTAGTTAGAAATATTTCAAACCAAAGAATGATGATATTTGTACTAAAAAGTTGCAACACAGCACCACCACAAATAAGCTTATGGGTACAATATAAAAATATTCATTGCCCTTCTCATCACATTGTAAGTTACCATAACTGGGGCCAAAGTTTTTCTTAATTTGTGATTTACTTAGTGTAAGATCCTATTGTTCCCAAAGTGACAGAAATGTTGGGACCAAGGATAATGTTGATGAACACAGGAGTGTTACACATCCTCTCTCTTTTGGATAGGATAGAGGTGTATGTTACTGTTCACACAGTGGCAGTTTTTTCTCCATTTAAGTTCTTGGTGAAGGGACAGGTTACCGCAATTAGAACAATAAAAACAAGATTTTTTTTTATAATATCACAACTGTAAGGAAAAGATATAGACCAGAAAACAGCTGATATACAAAAGATTGTCTCTTTAAATGCCAATACCATGTCTATGTGACACTTTTGCTTCTCCACCTGTGCTTGATCAATATCTGTACAAAACAGCCTTCCCACTGCTCTTATTTATATTCTACACCAAATTTGGAAACTTAACTTTATAGCGAAGTTGGATAACATAATATACATTCCACTAACATAGTGGGTAAGGTAGTTTAGGGCATCTATCTGATTTTTGGATATTTTTATGTAATTATTTATTGTTTGTGTTTCCTCTCAAGCCTCTTCCTGCTATATTACAGGGTGGCTGGAATCAAGATGAAATAAAGGTTTGCATCATTCGCTACCATTCATTCAGTTTTCCTGCTGTAATGTGAGCCTTGAAATGTATGTGCTCCCCTTTAATATGGAAAACCAGCAATTGAGTGCCTAATTCTCAATTGGAAAGTACAGTATACGTTGTTTGATTAATGCATACAAAAATATCTTCATAAAGGTGGGGTCCTTCATTATGGTGTGAGTGAAACCCTTTTGTCTTCATAGTTGGTGTCTGGTTCACCAACAAGTTTGTACTATGTTGTCTTAATACTGAAGTATGTAAGAATTTCCATTGTGATGTACACAGTATTAATATTAATAAAATTGCTATTAATTGTAACTATAAGACAAGTACTGTATGCAAATTTCCATTCTGAATAATTTTCTGTGCTGTAGAAAAAGAACATACACCTATAGTGCACAGCATACTGTAGGTAAGGAATTATTATTATCATTGCGAGTGAATTATGAGGGAGGTCAGTACATATAACTTTCGTAAAAATTGGTACAGTACTCACTTGTGGGTTCCAATTATCATTTTCCCCAACAAGGAAAATTAAAGAAATTGGCTTTATATATTCTATGGATATATTTCTCATTAAGAGCCTGATGGTACTAAGTAAAAAACACCTTGTGCTTAAAGAAGAAAACACAAAGTTCCCAAGCGCTTTCGTGTAATTCACATCTGTACTCACCCCTGAAGATGTGAATTACACGAAAGCTCTTGGGAACTTCGTGTTTTCTTCTTTCCTTGTGGTTATCAGCATATATATATATAGATGTATATACACACATACACTATACTATATTTGTGTATAAAGTGTAGTATATCTTATTTGTATTAATGTATAAACATTAACATTTTAAACATTAAAACATTTGATATATGATGAAAAAAAAAATGCTCTAACCAGCAAGAATACATACCTGCTGTGCATTCTGTATGAGGAAAAATAGTTTCATTGTACTTGAGTTATAAAACGGCAATATAAAGGAAGCACGGGATTATTATTAATGGGAAAGGAATTTGTGAGTGGCCCACCCTACAGCAAGTGTGGAATTAATAAGTCACATAAAGAAGGAAAGTAATCTAAAAAGAAGTGTATCATGAGCAAGGAGGGTGGACGGAAGCATCCATCCACTCCAAACGTATTTTGCTGTCAAGTACTGTATGCTCAGTTCATGCAAATTTCACAATATTTTAAGCTGAAGAAACTTGATTCTAGTACAGTACATTATAAAGTGTTCTGGTTTACAATATATTGTTTTAGCAAAAGACGCACTGAATCCGTATATGTTTGAATAGGTACCATTCTGAATAAAGAGAATTTATAGGTATCTGTATAGTGTATTAATCTTATTTTACCCTAAGTTTTAAGTATAGATAAAGATTTAACACCACTTCATAGAATAATCTCTAATGGTCATTGTGTAGTTTTATTATTTAAACTTAGAATTTTAGCAGCAATGTAAAAAATAAAATTTACAACTGTTTTAGTGAATTTAGGTTGAAAAGTTTATATATAGAGAAATTAGTCAGTATTGAGGTAAATATTTGTTCATAGATATGTACCTAATGTTTTAATATTAATGTTTGTTGAATTATTAACTCTTACTACATCTTCTACATTAGGTGGTGCAGGTGACTTGGGCCGTGTTCCCATGGGTAGGCCACGGCCCCTGCCCTTCCCACCATACAACATGCAGGGGCTGAAAATGGATTTCGGTGGCCTTGGGGCCCACCACTGCACCCCGTCAATGGTGAAAGTAGACTTTCTAATGCCAAACAGCATCATCATCGAGCACAATGTCAGCACCAGTGTATCCCTGGAAGAAATTAAGGAGGTTTGTGGTACTAATGTTTGTTACATTTTGCTGCCTTAATTTTATGATGAAACTAACACTTAACTGAAGTATACTACTACAAGTACTTGTTCAGGGGATTTATTCATGTTGTTAAATTCAAGAATTTTTTTGCTTATGAAAGTGAGTAAAAACTATGGATGGGATAAAATAATATTTTCTTAAAACTCGCCATAGATTTTGGTCTCATGATGATTTCAGACAAGCTAGATGATGGGCATAAATTGTTTGAGTTTGTTTCATTTTTGGGGGGAATACACACTTACTTTTAATTGATTATATGATAATTATCATGTAGTCATTAAATGCCCAACTTAATCATTTCTCAAATATGTTTGTGAAAAAACTGTAATCGTATCTATATGTAGTACACACATCATTCAGTGTGTACAACCAATGCACTGGACTGTTTTTATATAGTGATGGATTTATGTTCAATCAATGGTACCTGTACTTCCAAATACTCTTCTCCAGACTTTTCCGACGATTCACCCATCGTCAGCATTGATGCCAAAACAAGTGTGTAATGAGGTCACTTTACTTGGTTTTTGTGTGACCTAACTCATAGTGAGGTTATTTTACCTCTTGTGGTGTAAAGGTGTTATCACTTGACCTGATTATAAACTTAGTTCCCAACATCTGCTCTTTTAGCTTATGATCGTATTATGTATTTAGGGACGTTCTTAAGTTAAAAATGTATGTAAGTCGAAACATGTCTTATGTGCATACCATACTTACAGAATAATGTTTAAAATCCCACTACTGTATATCGTAGCCTAAGTCCTTATACAGGTATACATCTAAAGTCTCTTAATTTAAGAGAAAAGAGGAAATAGAATGACATACATTAAATGAAAGCCAAAAATAAGTCATCGGGTAGATCAAATACATTAAATTTAAAGATTAACCCCGTTTGTATTGGCGAATGTTCATAAGTCGGACATTCGTAATCTGGGGACCTCCTGTATAATGAAATGAAAATCTTACAGCCAGTGTTGTATGTAAACATTTGTAGTACTAATCATGTACTGTACCTGTAATGCTGCTAAATGTATGTTTCAAAGAATTGGATTTATGAGATGTATTGCAGAGAATTTTTATTTTGAATATTTGTTATGATGAATAATTGTGTTATTGAAGAACTGATATTTCATAGAATAGTTGTTTAAAGAATTATAATCAAAGGTTTGGTTTTCAAATACATATGTTTTTTTTTTCAAAGAATTTACTGGATATGATTTTAGTGAGTAGCTGTTCTGATCATATTTGAACTTTTTAGGAATGTGCTCAAAACTATTGCATCATTAACTTGTACTATGCTCCTCTTTAATTAATTTTTATTCTAGAGAAAAAATCAAGTACAGTACAATAACTTTTTTATCTCATTCAAATACTTTGTAAATTCAGTAATAACAGTGGTAGTGTATTGCTATTTTGGGATGACTGAGTGCTGCTGCTATAATTATAATATGTAACATACTTCTGATGTTGTTAGTAGTGATTTTTTCCATTTGAAAAGAACTGCCACTTTTGGGATTTAAAGGAACAATACCTTTTATAATATACCAGTTCAGTGTCTGTAAGACCTTATTTTTAAGCTATTTATTATTTTTCTCTTCAGGAACTATGGGAACGTGCAAGTGAGTTTCCCCTCTTTGGGACACTCCATGACCTCTCATCTTACCACTTCGCATGTATCAGTCATCGTGCTGAAACTGTGGAGTTGATGGATGAATCAAAGTGTCTTCAGGAGATAAACCCTTTTATGTGGATGCTAAAAGTTGTTGAGAGGAAGGGCAATGAAACTGAAAAAATGCTCAATCTGCAAATTGGTCAATTAATTGGAAAGGGTAGGAAGAATTTAAAAGTGTAATTATAACACACACTACACATTATTGAGTTGCTACCAACACCTTTTGTACAGACAGCACATGGCTATTTCTCAATTTCACCATGAATCATTAATTTTGTTTTTGCCACATTCACTCTCCAGCCCTTTGACTTTACTCCATCCTTCCATTGCTTTAATTTCTTCACTTCCTCTTCAGTACTAGCTTCTATCAGCAGTCATTTGTCAGCATTTAACAACTCCCAGGGCAAATTAGTCCTAAAATCCCATAATAGTGGCTCCAATACCATGATAAAGAGAAGCAGGTTCAAGACAGTCTCTTGATAAACCCTTATTTTGAACTCAAATTCAACACTTTCCTCACCATTTACTCTCACTGCAATTCTTGAATGGAATTACCTGGCCATGGAAATTACCTCTTTAGTCGCCTTACTTGCATTTTGGTATGTTCATTCTCCCTTGTTAATTTTTTGGTCACTTCCCCCAACTTTTTTGACCTGATGCATTAGTTTAAAGTCCCTATAGTTTCAATGTTCAACTGCATAATCTTTGCCCTTGTAAGTATTCATGATCACATTCTTCAGCCAGTAAACTGGAGCTTTACATTCCTTCAAGATTACATTAATCAGTTCGGTCATCATTGGCTGTTCTGCATGTATTTCACTTTCTTTGTTTATTGTTGGTTTATGATCATTGTGTTCACCCAAAATTTTCATTAAAAATACCTGTATATTATCAGTGTTTTGGTGAGACTATGTGTATTTTTCTTTTCAGTGATATGTGAAATGAATTTTCATTTTGGTGTGTATAAAATGCATACTGTATGTGCAGGTGTGTAGTGCTGACTTCTAAGATCAATAATAGCTTATAAACTGATGATGTATTATGTAGGAAGGTGCTTAGCGTAATAATTTCATTATGATTAATATAATTTCAGAACTTCAGAAATTTGATGCTCTTAAAAACCCTGAGGTGAATGAATTTCGGTGGAAGATGAAGGCAGTTTGTGATGAAGTTGTATCTGCAAGGAATAAATTAACATGGTCAGAACAGGTAAGATTTTACTTCTTGTAATATTAACATTCATCATTATTGATATATGAGTAAAAGGAAGATTTTTTATTTATTTTGTTAGACAAAGGAGGCAAATAAAATCCTTTGTAAAGATGAGTGTCATGTAATGACAAATGAAAGACTCTTTACATGTTTAAGAGACTGATCTGCTCAAAAGAGTCTAAACTGTTTGTAGCCATAGAGTGTGTTGCATTACCTCAGTTGAGTTGTACGGTTCTGAACAGGGGTGTAAAAGAGTTTTTTGTTTGTTACAACTTAATGTATTTGTTTAAGTATAGATATCCCTCGTTTAGCTTAGTTAATGTGTTCCTGAAAAATGCCATGCTAAATAAAAATACACTAAATGAATATAAACTTGGGTATCAGGAATCCAGACATAAATTTTTTAAAATAATAAATTTTCCAAAGTATTTTCATATTCAAAATTCCTTCCAAATTTCATCAGCTGACCTAGCTTAGGTTGTCAGCTGATGATGCGTTCATGCTCACTGCATTACTCATTCGTTACTCGGAAAGCATTGTGGATTCTAACTAGGTGTGGTGCCCATAAGATATCTCAAAACTAATGCAAAAGTATTTATACTTAGTGTTGTAGTGCAAAAAGAAGACAAAGTGCTTAGCATCAAAGAAAAAGTGGAAATTCTCCAAAAATCTATCAGGAAATTTTGTGACCAGTAAGGTGTAAAACCACAATTTATGACTTAAAGAAGACGCATATGAAAGTACTGTACAGTGCTTTAATTTTATGTTGATATTGAGTAAAATATGGCCATGTGCTAAAGAACAAATTCAGTGAAGCTAAAGCAGCCTGCACAGATAAATGATTTTACAGGTATGGTTATTTAAATAGCAGAATTATTTTTTCTCCAAGGTGTTCTAGCTGCAGGCTTCAGATTCAACCCTCCACTTCTTGATACTACTTGTACATCTTTCAATGCTTCACTTCTCAGTTAAATGGCATGAACAAATAAAGATTCATAAGAAGATAGAATAATACTGTTGCATTTTGTTTCCACATAAAACTGTAGAATAAATATGGAAATGTTGGGCTATCTGGGTGCTTAGTGGCCTGACTGACGGTGCATGGTAGTGGGTGACTGATGTGTTTACATAGGGTAACATTTAGAGGATGATTGTATTTATTGCACTTCATGATTATTTAGAGATGAAATACTAAAATCTAATTTAATACAACTTCAGTATCTGAGAATGGCTATAGCCTTCATGTTACCATTTGTGATAAACTGCTGATATCCAAATTGTATGTTTTCAAACTTCCTGCCTCTGTTTAACCCTCTTGTACTCCTGGCTATGGTCAGAAATCTCAACCACTCGTTTTCTGTTGATGCAAATAGCATCATTTACAATCTCACCTGCTAGGAACCTCTTTGATGCAAGTTGCATCAGTAACAGGAAAGATTGGTCCATTTTATTAAACATTGGGTAGAGCGCTCCAAACACAAAATGCACCCTTAGCGATGCATCTTCCAGCCCACGAGGCTAGTGGGAAGAACATAGGTGGTTCCTAGGGCTGGTTACTATGCAATGGTGCTTCTGCTTATGGAAAAGTGTGGGAATGCCTGAGTGGGAGGGGTCATGGCAGGGGGTGGGAGCTTTTGAGAGCAGTCTGTGTCAAAAGAAAATCCTGTGGGCAAATGTCACATTCACACTTCACCATGAGCATTGGTAGACACTCATCTGTGAGATGCTGCTTACTTACACTGCCTCCATACCGAAAGAGATGTGTATTTTGTAAGGAATGTGATGATAAAGAAAATTTATCTTCGTTAATACAGGGTAAATGGCTTGTGATAAGTACAGTACTACAGTACAGTATTTACAGCACTAGTAAAGGACTTTATTTTGAAAAGGCTTGACTTGTTCCTGGCTGTATGACCAGGGTAATCTTCAGTATATACCTTATAGACTCATATAGCCAATCAGTTGTCACAGTTCTTATCCTTATTTGAGAGTGATAAATAAGTGTCTTGTGCTTTACAAAATATGCACATGATACAACTTTAAGGTATGTCTCTCAGAGGTTACTTCCCCAAACCCTTTACTGTATAGACTAGGGTGTTCTTGTATAAAGCTGTTGGGATTAAATTTGTTTTGTAATAGCATTGCTGATGAACATACATATTTTATCCTCATTTTTATGGGCTGAAACAATTCAAATTTGACTTAGTTGAAATTTTATATATTCTTCTGAAATAAAGCATCTTAAAGTGTGTTTCCTTTTACAGGTCCAGTATCAATACCCAGCTCGTATAGCTACAAAACTTGAACTACCCAAATATATCACCGACAGATTACATGATGACCAACTTTTACTGTCTGTCCAGTTTGATACATCAATGGAGGTAATTTGGTGATGCTAAGTGAATGCCTTTTATACATTTTTATAGGACCATATATGTTTAGGTAGAACAATTTGTTTACTAAATCTTTTGTTCCCACCACTGTTAAAACTAAAGGAAATTAAATATGATTTACCACCAAAATCACAGAAAAAGTAGCATTATTACAGTGCAAGGAAATTCCTCTTGTGTGTACAGTTTTAAGAGATATTTGAGAGGTAGAAACCATATCCTACAAGACATGTATTGTATTTATAGACAGAATATCACCCAAAGACATGACTGTTACAAATGTCCAGCTATAGGTTCTCTTTGTTACATTATGCTTTGGATGACTTATGTCCTAGATGACTTAGGTCCTGGATGACAACTGCCTGGATGATTCACCTCCTATTTGACTTCCTTCAGAGATGATTTATTTGCTGAATGACTTACTTTCCTGGATGACTTAAGGTAATTCATGGATGACTTATTGTAACTCATGGATGACTTATTGTAATTCATGGATGACTCATTTGCTGTATGACAGAATTTGTTTTCCAGCACTTTTCATGTATCCTTTCATATATTTGTTTGTGATGAAAGACTCCAGTGTTATGGTGTACAGTATATCTTTTATACCTTGAGAGTAGCTGTCTGATGGCCATGCTAGTAACTTGGTGTCTTTGGTCAATAGTGGATACAGTATAAGATGATGTCGAGGATGTGTAAGTTAAAGCCCTGATTGAGTGTGTCCTGGGGAAGAATATGTTGTGCCCCAAAATGCTTTTAGCTGTTGAATTGAAGTTAATTAATGGAAAATTTGGTCTTGATCTTTGGAAGATTGTTACATTTGGTCAAAATATATGAAGTATCAAGGTCAAACGATGAAATGTCATGTGTTAGACAGCTGTTGCCTGTTATGTTTATATCTCTGTGCCATTGCCAACTGATTAACTTCAATGACCAGTAAAATTTTCATGAGTTACTAAATGTTACTTCTGAGTTGTTAATGCTTAAAATGTGGAATTGATAAGTGAGTTAGATATTTAGGGAAGGTGGATGGATGGGTGGAAAACCCCTTTAACTCTCTTATAGAGGTTATTGTATATCGGTTATAATAGGTATGAATTTGTGTTTTTCAGGTTCAGCGAACATTCACCTTTCGTGTTTTACCCAGTGTTAAGACGAGAGAATTTCTGAATCTGGCTCTTGCAAAACTTTCCATTACATTTGTGATGGAAGAACCTCCTGAAAATTATGTATTGAAGGTAAGAGCAAAAAATATTCTGTAGTTTTGTCTGTTTTAAAATAAATAAGAATTGAGATATTTGCAGTCCTGTTCAAAATCTTCAATAGTGCTATACAGTATACAATATGTATTGTCAATTGACTATGTGGCATTAATTATAATGCAGAAGTAGATGCTAGGAGGGAAAGGTGAAGACCAAGAACTAGATGGAAGGATGGGGTGTTGAGCTCTCTAGAACTAGAAGTGAGGGCAGTGGACATCCAAGGAGTTGTCTTGTGCTTGAAAGACAAGAGAACATAGCTTGGAGTGGTTTATGGGAATTGACATGCTGCTGGATTTTGTGAAGTGACAGTCTTATTGTGGAATGGGAGTGCCTCAACAGAGCACATCTATTACAGTAGCATGAATGATTGAATGAGAACTTGAGGGATGCATGTACAGTACTTCAAGTTTTTGTAGTTTCCCATTGTTGTTGGTATTGGTAATACTGTGCAGGTATACCCCTTTATAACAAAGATTGTTCCCCCCCCCCTTTTTAGCTTAAAATTAAACAAAATTATTTAAAAAATAAAGAAACTAATGGAATCCAACAAAAATGGTACTTTATTTTGATTTCAGTCAATCAGAACGAAGTTTGCAACTCAAAACATAAAACGTCGCCAGTCAGCTGTGGCCTGTGAGATGAAAATGCATATTGCTATTGTTACATGTAATGAAACTTTAAAATTTGTGGAAAAATCATTTCAATACCTGTACTCTAATGTGACATAGAAATAAAGAAAATATTGTATAAAACTATGAAATAAGAAATATGAAGAGCATGGGTGTGTATTCTGTGTGGGAGGTGATCTTAAGTGTGGCGAATTGGCTAGTTAGGTGTATTTAAATTTAAACATACACCTCACAACCACCTCTGCTGTAAGCTTACTTTATTCTCTTTGCCACTGGTTGTCAAGTTAGATTTCAGCAGAGAATATTTAGAAAAAAAATAATGAAAGTATTAAAAAAAAGCAAAAATTATACAAGCTAGTGTACACACTGCATTGCAGCTCAGCTAGGATGCTTTGTCTACTAACCCTTAGCAACAGGGCTTCCACCCTCCGCTCCCCCCTCCCTCTCCCATGCACAGCGTGTTAACTCTCTCACACAAAGAAATGTTTATTCCCTTTAAATTTTTTACCTTATTATAATTATTTGTATTTATTCTTTTTTTTAAACATTCTGTATTTAAGATTGTGTGTGCATGTAACTGAGTAAAAAAAACGAAGAAAGTTACAGGTATCTACCTGAAATTATGAGTTAAAAAATAACCATAACATAGCTCACAGCTCAGCCTGGTAGCCAGAGGTCAAAGGGGATAGCTATGGCTAGTGATGAGTAACTTTGCAACAGTGCCATCAACAAAGTTAACAGACACAAATATCTGTATTCTAGAGTATACATTATATGGTAATTAAGAGTAATTATACAAGTAATGTGTTTAAGTACAATGGTAATGTGTAGTATCTCACTAAAATGTCAAGGGTTCAAATCCTGCTTGGCCCAGACACACAAGAAAGGTGGTACTGTATTCATTGTGAGCCTATCAAACATCATAGGTTTCCCAGTCCTGCTTCCTCCTGTGCCAACACTGGGTAGACCAATTGCCAGAACAGCTAATAAACTAATAAGTGGTGAAAATTATAAAATAAAAAAACAGATTTATAATTTTGGAGTTGGGCTAGGTAGAACTTAGCCTGTTGGATACAGGAACTGGGGGATACAGGATGTGGGGTGATTTTTTTTTGCCATTTTTCAGAAAAAAGTGCATCTTACGTGCCATAAAATATTATATATTTCTTATAACATCTGGGTCTTAGTCCCCAGCCCAGTCACATGCTGTTTCCCCCAATGTGACATCATGGCATACACACAGTGCAGCAGCCATACACTCTAAGCCAGCTAGGTGGCTGCCAAGCTGAACTCTGTCACTCACTTTCGACATCACATCACCTAGAGCAGCGGTCCCCAACCTCTTGTAGGCTCTGGGCCACATTTATCATTGTAAATATAGTGGAGGTGCACCAAAACTTTGGATCTACATTCAATAAAAAAAAATATCATATATACTGTACAGTTATTTGCAGTTTTACACATCTAACTGTTACCAGTTACATACTTTTTACATGTACTCTTGGACAGGTCGTGTGCATTTACCCCTATGAGAAGGTTGGCTCTCTCTCTGGGCCCGGTCTGGGGTAAATACACATGTCCTGTACACGACATTTGTATAAAGTTATTACATATTTTCCTTCATTTCACTCTTACGAAGAATCCCAAATAATTCACAGTTTTCCTAATAAACCTCTGCGGGCTCCATATTATGGTTTCGCTCAGGTTGGAGACCACTGACTTAGAGGATGGAAGGAACTATTTCATGTACATAAAATGTATGCTTTTGTATTTTATGATTTGCTGTGTATCATTTTATTGTTTATTATAGCAGTTCTTGTTAATATTTTCATATGCAAAATATAGAATAACAAAGGAATGGAACCCTTACCTATTTACTCCATGTTAAATCTACCTCTAACAATGAAGTTTCCCAGAACGAAGTGGATAATGTGAAGATATCCACTTCATTGCCAGAGGTATACCGGTACAGTACAGTAGCTATAAGATTAGGTGTTAATATAATGCTGTGAGGTTACTAACCAAAGTATCTCTTCTTTTGTATTTTAAAGACTCCTGGAAGAGAAGAGTATCTAATTGCTGATGTACCACTTGTCCAATATATGTATATACGTGAACTTGTGTGCCATGATGAATTTTCGCCAATACCTCTAGTCATTGTTCATCGAGGAACTATTCAGGGTAAGTATCAAGTCTCGCAGCTGCTGTTAATGTAAATCTTGGAACTGAATTGATAGACTAATGTATTCTCCCTTGGCAACAGAGGTGTTTATAATTTCCTTCAATACTCAACACCAGACTTAAATCATTTGTGATGTTGCCATTGTATAGTATTTCATAGATGGGATAGTAAGAGAGTTGGTAACAAGAGTATTGGAGAGGAGAGCCACCTTGTTTAACTGGGATAGGTTGTGCAAGTAGGAGATGAGTCCAGCTGATGACATAGGTTATGAGAAAAGTTACAAATATCACTGATCCTGGAAGAGTATACAGTAGGAGAAAATTTTAAATGATATGAACAAATGTATAGTGAAAAAATAACGAGAAGGGGAGGAGGAGGGGGGGGGGTGAATTTAATGTTCGCTTGTATGGACACAATTGAGGAAGGGAGGTGTTTCAGGTATGAGAGTGGATGTGTGGGCAAAGTGAATGTTGGGTGATTAAATGAATTGTCAAGTAGTAGGAGGCAAAGCTAGGGATGAATAGTTGAGTCATCTTTGTTCTCGATTTAAAGCATAGACCTTGGATGCTAAAAGGAGAGATAAATTAGTGGTTTGCTTGAGAAGAGGATGTGAATTCTAAAAAATACAGGCTTTGCAAAGATAAAAATGGACACTTGAGAGAATGAAAAAAGAAAGATTCATAAAATTAGTGTACAGTACACTGGTACAGTACTGTAATTCAAAAGTGGAGAGTATGAAAGAGAAAGAGGGGAGATAAAACGAGGAAAAGGTAGAGTGAGGTGAGGAAGATGTTTATGGGAAGGGGCTAAATATCGATGAATGGGGAGGTACATGATCAGAGAGCTTGGTGTGGTGCTGATGTGTTGTGCTGGAGGTTGGTATGTAGTTTTGGTGTGTGGTGCTAGTGTATGGTGTTTGTGTGTAATTCTGGTGTGTAGTTTTGGTGTATGTGTGTATAAAATGCTTGTTAAACCAGAGGGAGGGGGAACACTGTAGTATAACTTATTTGTTGCAGCAGCCAGAGAGAATGAAGGGAGAGTTTGCTTTGCTCTTGGTTTCATTCACCTTCTACCATAGTACACTATAGTAGGAAAGAGCTTTGCAGTGTAAAAAATAAGATTCATGTGCAACTTTTGGTATAAGACAGTCATGATATTTTTGTCCTTTTTTACATTGGATGTCATTCTACTTGATAATGGAAAGTAAAAAATTTTCTAACCAAGTTTTCCTTCCACAGTAGACATTGAGAATATATATGAAAGAATTGAAGATTTGGGAGTGAAGCACTTAAGAAACTCTTTCTCAGGAATGACATTAAGCAAGAAGAAAAATGTAAATTTTGTATCATCTTGGACAATTGAAGAAGATTTCAACTTTCAGATTGGAACTATCTCCAATGTAGACCTTTATACTGAAGACCAGGCTGTGGTAAGTTTTCTTATTAGATTTAAAGTACTTTTCACCAAGATTATTATTCTTCCTCTTTATCCTTAACTGTTCCTCAGTTCTTCTCTACCTGGGTTGCTCCTTTGCCATCGAATTTTATTGTTACCAGATAGCTTCTCTTGATGAACATGTTGAAAATTACTGAACAGAATTTAGATTTGGAGAAAAAAATTTTGATCCCTTGTGTAGATCTCTTCAGGATAGAAGCTTGTCAAGTTTGATTATACAGTACTGCTGACAATGAAATCTTGGTTTATCCTAGTTTTGTAAAACAAGAATTTGTGCTTGTACTACATTCATCACTTGATGACAAGTCTTTACAGTTCAGTATCTACACTTATACTCTTTTGCTGTTTATTGATAAAAGGGATGCTTGGCAAAGCACTGGCAGTTCTTTTTTATACTTATTATGCATGATTTAGGAATTTTTCTTTTAAGAAAAATTTTTGCACTTAAGTAAACATTATGTATCTATGCACCTAGAAGGATGTAATTTAGCATGCATGATTTGATATATTTTTCTGAAAATACAGTATGAAAAACATTTATTTTTTAGAGAGCTTTTAATATTTTACTAAATAACCATAATACATGTGTATAAAAATAATTTTAGACAGTTTAACCAGATTGTATCATTGCTACTACTTTCTCCACTTCTCATTATCAGGGGGATCTCGTTATACGAGCATTCTTTATACAAGAAATCGGTGATATGAGGTTAAAGAATTTGCACCATTATATTTGCTGTACGAGCGATATTGTTCGATGATCCGAGAAGCGAGTACAGTTATCACTGGGGTTAGTTATACAGACTTTTTCCTGTGAAAAAGCCATAATTTTTAGCAACATATTACTGTACTCACTTTGTACTCAAATGTACTACACTAAAGGACTAAAACTTTTATCTCTTGTGCAACTGACTAAAACTTTTATCTCTTGTGCAACTATGTGATGTTTATATTCAAATTATTAACTATTTTGCAAGAATTCCAGCAATGCAAGGAGGGGGTGAGGTGAGGTGTTGACAGCCGGCGGGGAGATTACCAAGTGCGTAGTTATCAGTCAAATAGAGGGACTTCAAGTTTTTTCTTTTTAAATGTCACCGAATTGACTTGGCAGAATATAACTTAAATTGCTGGAATTCGTATAAGATAGAGATCAGTTTGAGCACAAACTTCTCATAGTTTGCACTAGACATAGATTTAAAGTAATTAACTGAGTACATTTGAGTACAGGTTTGCCCTTAGAACAAGCATTTTATTTTTACTTTTTTTACAATGTATATTTAGGGTGGTGTGTGCATGTAAATGAGGAAAAATAAATGAAGAAAGTTATGTATAACTACCCAAAATTACGAGTTGAAAAACAACCATAACACCTCACAGCTTGGCCCAGTAGCCTGGTGGTTGCTGTGATGAGGCTAACTTGGCTACTGTGCCATGATAAATCACTATTAAGCATTATTATACAGTGGTCCCTCGGTTAACGAACACAATTTGTTCCAGAGGGTCGTTCGTTAACGGAAAATTTCGTTAACCGAATCCATTGTTTCGGTTGGATATTAGGTAATTGGTTCCAGCTCACCGAAAAAACATATAAAGTAAAAAAAAACATGTAGTAAGGTACACATACTTTGAGGTGTGTATGTAGAAGGTTCCTGGTTGATGGTGATGATGGGAATTAGAAGTGGGGATGAAGGAGAAGGGAGAAGAGAAGGAAGTGGGGATGGAGGAGAAATCACCTTTCAAGGGACCCATGCTTGATGCCGTCATTTCACCAATAAAATTTTTAAGTTCACTAGGTGTAATTCAAGATTATTTTATTTAAATCAACACTGCACTCCATTATATATTATCAATATGTTTACTAAATTTCAGAATGACCAATAATTCCAATGAAAAATGCAAAAATATTCAAGACACCAACAAAATAGATATTCACTCCACTGTCAACAAAGTCCAACTGACGCCTTGTGGCTGAGTCAAGCGTCTAATGGGTGCAAAAAAAAACTAGTTTCCTGTACTGCATCTATTATCAATATGTTAAATAAATGTTAAAATGACTAATAACTATAATATAAAAAATGCAAAAATATGAAAGAGCACAACTTTCTTGATATTTACTCCACTGGAAACGAATGTAAACATAGAACCGATTACTGAATTGGCAGACTAGCCCATCAGCTGATGCTCACAACAAAACGTGATGTTTGTAAGGATTTCGTTAATCGAATTTTTGTTCGTTAAACACTAATAATAACAGTAAATCCAGTGAAATGTTGCAGGGAGGGAGGAGAGTTAGGTGCCGTACAATCGAAATACGTATGGGAGAAATACATATCTTGTAGTCTAATTTGAAAATGCTGATGGGCCCAGTGATAAACAAATTATATAAACCATGCATTTACCTATGATAACATAATAAGAAACATTGTACTGTATCATTACTAGAGTGAATTAAATATTCCCACAAACAGCAATTGACAACTGTTTGTTTCCTACCTCCAGGTCACCCAGTGCTTACGGGCCTAAAATGTTGTTTCCTCTGCTTACCCAGCCAAGTAAGCAGAAAACAAGCAGTGACGTGGTCTGTGACATCTTTCGTGATGTAGATGCACAGACGTGCTTGTGAGCTACTCAGCCAGGCCACTCACTCCTTCCCTACATCCCTACCGCCCTCCCCCCAGCTACCCTCTCCCTTCTCCAGTGTTTGAATCTGCTATTCCAGTTTGTCCGCTCGTACTGAATCACATTTACTGTCGTCGCTATACTCAGTGCTCAGGAACACATCCCTATTTAACCCATGTATTATTCCCTCCGTTATACGAGTTTTCGTTATACAGTACGAGCAGACTCGAAGGAACGTATCTACTCGTATCATCAAGATTTTACTTTACTACATAAGTATGAGGTAGCTTGAGGTGTGTTACTTATTACATATAGTACTGTACCATTATTTGTACAGGGTATTTCAAAGTTGCTAAACTTAAACTGCATTGTTTAGCATCTTTTCCCTTTTGAGAGATAGTTCAATATTTTGGGATAATTTGATATATTGTGCTAATTTGATCAACTCAGAGCCCAAACGATACCAAATTATCAAGGGTTCAATGTAATTGACTTAAGATATATTGATTTATACCTCACTTCAACCTTCAACCTATTCTTAAAATGTTGGAATGGACACACATCACTACAACATGAAAGGGGTGAATTCTTTAACCTCTATTGTAATAATGTTATATAATTTGTACTCATATCTTTGTAGGTGGTGATTGAAGCTGGCCTATACCATGGGAGTCGAGCACTCTGTGAGACAAAAACCACACAAGAGGTCAGCATAAGTGATGGCTCAGGTAACGTGAATGAAGGCCTTGTCTTCTCCATTGCTGTATGCAACATTCCACGTAACGCACGCCTCTGCCTGGCCATCTATGAAGTCAGCCGTAGTGCCAAAGCCACTAAAGCACGGTCGTCAATTGGCAATAGACAGGTGTGTATGTTTGTTTTGTATGTATGTCTGTGGTGTCAAGTTGAGACATGTAACTGTGTGAAACTCGTACCATCATTCTGGTTCATGCCTCTTCTCTCACTGTATTCATTAATTCAGGCTGACTTTATTTATTTTATTGTCTCCTCAGTTTTAATGCTGTACGGCATATGTAAGTTACTCTTGTGTATCAGGTATTTCCCAGTCCTTTACTTCATCACAGGATAACATTACATTATACATCATCAATGTTTACATTTACTAACTGTGGTGACATAATGCTTGCCATTCTTTTGTTTTTATTTTTTATGTATCTCTGTTCTTAAGCTCTATTACCACATCTCAAATTCACACAAGTCAGTCATCCAACCTGCTATACTATCTATCTGTCCCTTGCATGTAGCTGCCATACCATACTTCTGTCCCTTGCATGTAGCCTACCATAATTAATTTGAATTTTTTTGTATCCTTTAACCTATCATTGTGAATTTGATTTGAAATGAAAGTTTAACAATAAAGTCATTTCATCTCCAGATTTCATTATATACCATACATTTACTCATTCAATCTCTGCACTATAAATGATAATTTAACCCATACTTGGTCAGGTTATGGAATGTTAAATGTCAACCCCTGGTCAGCTAAAGGTGATTTTTTTTTTGGGGGGGGGGTTAAAAGGTGAAGCTTAGTGTATAAAACTTGAGAATAACATTAATTTTGGGTGTACTCACCATTTTGAATCTTCTGGGGTGGGAAGCTTAGAGAAGGCATTTGACTGTGTACCACATGAGGTAGTACAGCGGGCAATGAGAAATTTGGGAGTTGAGGAGTGTTTTGTTCAAGTGGTTGTGGCATTATAAGAGCACTCAAAAACCACCGTGAGAGTAAATGGCAAGGAAAGTGAGGAGTTTGAGGTGAAAGGAGGAGTTCATAAAAGGCCTGCCTTGAGCTTCCTGTTTATCATATTACCAGAGGGGCACTATCATGGGATTTTGGGACTGGTTTGCCCTGGAAGTTATTTTATGCTGACAATTTAGAGTTGATAGCAGATAGTATTGAAAAAACTGGAGAAATTTATGTAATGGAAAGATGAAATTGAGTCAAAAGGCTTTAGAGTGAATATAACAAAAAGAAAAGTATTGTTTTAATAGTTAGGGACTTATTGTTTGGTGAAAAGTAGCTATGTGCTATCTGTAAGAAGTATTGGCAGCAACTCAGTAATGTGCAGTGAGTGGAAGATAATACACTAAGAGGTGGAATGTTGCTGACCTTAGCAAGGCTGGAGAAGTTCAATAATGGAGATATTTTCTACAACTGTGCCAATGAACTTTGTTACTTACAGTACTTGTAGGTGTAAGTGGTGCTGAAGCTAGCTCTGTTGTGAGAATTAGAATAGGCTGATGGAAGTTGAGGGAGTTGCTGCTTTTATTGCATGAAATAAAAGATGTATGCAACTAGTGTGAGAAGTGTGATGTTGTATGGCAGTCGGGCATGGGCGGTTGAAACCAATGATATAAGGAGACTGAACAAGCTAAAATGGGAATAGTGAGGTGGATGTGTAATGTGATACTGAAAGGCAGGATATCCTATTCAAAGCTAAGAGGGCAGCTGGGTATTGAGATATTTGGCAAAGTTGTGTGTTGAGGAGAGCCAAGAATGACATGGTGATAGGCTGAAAGAAATGGCATCACAGTTAGAAACTTGGCATGAGAAACTGCAAGAGACTGTGCAGCAAGGAGAGGTGCCATCAGGTAACTGTGGCTAACCCATGCAAAGGTAAAAAATGGCTGTAGGATTATATTTCAGGTGGGAGAAAAGAAAGGGTCTATGTTATATAAAAATAGGAAGAGGATGTTTGTAATACCACAGTGATTTAAAAATTAAATCGAGTTTATGAATTTGCTGATGTTGATTGCATATTTTATCCAGTTTGCATTTTGTTTCCTCCCTTCACATGAATTTACTAATTTATTTTTGTATTGTGTTGCAGGGTCTACATCATCTACTACTGCAGTAATTTGAATATTTATCTTTTTTCTTGATGGTGGCAACAGTTTCCTTTCCCCATTTACCCATTATGCAACATCTTGTGGATGTGTTCTTTAAGACTTTACTCCAGAGGTTACTTAAAAGCAAAATTTTAAACTTTTCAGGAACTGTACAAAAACCCATTGGCTTGGGGGAACACTGCTGTTTTTGACTATAGGAATCAGTTAAAGACAGGAGCAATGTCTCTGTATGCCTGGAAAATATGTGAGGACCAAAGTGGAGACGTTATGCCCAATCCCTTGGGTACACTAGTAAGCAATCCAGACCATGATCAGGCAGTCACCCTTACTATCTCCTTTCCACGCTTCAATTCATCCTCTAATATAATATTCCCATCCAAGGACAAGATTGTGTCTACTGCCAAGGAAAATCCACAGAGTGATGAGGTGAGAACCAGTGTGTTTTATTTCTCAAAGGCTTTTCTCACTTAGTGCAGAATGGTCAGAATCACATTATCACTTAATTCATTGTCCATCATTCATTCCTGCTGCTGCTGTAATGCATGTGTGTTGTTGTGGTACTCCTCTTCCACAAAGGCTCGAAAAATACATCTGGTTTGCTCTTGTTGCTTCACACAAATATTGTTTTATGATTAATACTAAAATTTTAAACTACCACAGGCATTTGCACAAAGTTTTCTTGGTACTGTATTTATATTTCTCTTATTACACTAGAACTTTTATTTGGTTGTGATGTGTAATATTGTTGTGGTTGTTCAGTATTTCCAAGGTTGGGTTAATATAAGAATGAAATCAAGAATAATGGAGAGGGATGGAACTTTGGTAATAGTGATATGGGGTGCAGTTGGAAGACTAATCTGCTGCTGTTTGCTGATAACACTGCTTTAAATGTTGATTTAGAAGAAAGGTTAAAAATAGTAAAGAATGACTTGGGAAGGGTGTGTCCTTGAAAAAAAAAATGAATGTGAACAGAAATAAATTGACAAAGATAAGTTGAGAAGAGAGATGGAAGGAAAAGATTGCTGGTTAGGTTAGTGCTAGAATGGAGGAAATAAAGTGTTTCAGGTATGTAAGAATGAATGTGCCAGCGTATGGAACAATAACTGATGACCTAAAGCAGAGAGGGAAGGACCAAGAAATGAGGAGAAGGAAGGATTGGGTGAAAGATGCACAGGAAATGAGGCAGGTGGGCATTCAGGAAGCAGCAGTGTGCCTGAATGATTAGAGAACATGGTGTCCAGCAATTTTTGAGGAAGTTTGGTTGACCTGACCCTTAGTTGTATGAATTTATGGGTAAATTATTTAAATATTTAATGGCTCATAGTGGAACAGGAGTACCTTAGTAGAATACATTAATTACAGCAGTTAGATTGATGGGGAATGATATATAAATATGTGTATACTGTAGGTGTTCTCTTGATTCCAACCAACCAGCTGTATAGAAAATATGAAACAAATCATCTGCATTACATATTTTATGAACATCAATTGTAGTATAAGTATTGTGTGTCTAGATGTGTATTTTTTCTTTGAGATATGTTAGAGAAATATGAATTAGTAATCATTAAGTTTTTGATATAATAGCTTTGATCTTGCACTGAGTTGTAAAGGAATTTTCTAAATACTCATTGCTCCTTGGTCCTTATTATAAAATTAAGATATACAGCTGTATGCTTAGTTTTTGTTGTATATACATTATTTTTCACCCTCCCTCACAGACTTTTTCCCACTTGGGTGAAGGGTGTCCAAAGTCATAAAACAAAATACAACAAAAATGGTTTGATGAACTTTGTTTATGACACAGTTATCTGTTTATGGCAGTGGTCATAAAGTTTACTATGCTGTAGCCTGTATGTGATTTTATTTTATATTCAGGGTACACCAACCTCAAGTGCAATGGAGGAGATTCGTCAAATGGCAGATCGAGATCCTTTAACAGAGCTTCACGAGCAGGAACGAAAGTTATTGTGGTCTTTGAGAAATGTTTGTCGTACAGAACTTCCTCATCTTCTCCCAAAGTTGTTACAGTGTGTTGAGTGGGACAACAAAGCAGAGGTAAGGAGTACCTTCCTTCTTAGTTCAATTAACTTGGTAAGAATAACGTGAGCTATAGTCACTCAGTGCTGTTGTCATGTGCGTGCATAATAATAAAATAAATAATAATAATATTAAACGGTTTATTAATAGAGTTGCAGCCGGTGGCTGAAAATATACGGACTTACATTTGATTTAGACATAATGATATAATATGCATTGAATATATTTACAGGGCTGTACAGTACATAAATCAGGAGTTGTTTATTATTTTAACAATAGGTGGGATGTACCAATGTGTGTGTGTGTGGTCAATATTTGACTTGGTTAAAAAAAAATCTGGTGTTATGGACATTAGATAACAGGTGTATATGCCTCATACTCTGCTTTCAAAATAGGTTGAGTACTGGTGTGGTTCATGATTCATTATGAGTATAAAACTTGTCTAGTTTTTAAATTTCTTGAAAATTAATATACAGTATAATGTATTTAATATTTTTCATATCTGGAAATCTTTCATACATTATGCCAAGTATTACCACATGACCTTTTTGGTTTTGTTTTATTGGTGAACACCATTTTTGTACCCTGTCAACATGGCTGAATTTTACTGACTGTCATCATTTTAGTATTGATGAGTCTCAGGAAATTAAATCTTTTGGAAAGGTGTTTACAGAATTTGTGCTCTTGTTAGGTAGACCATAGCTATACTGTATTGGCCTTGTGTGGAACAATTGTGCATGGTGTGCTTAGGTGAACAGTACAGTAATTGAAATGAAATGTATTTTTCTTGAATCGTTAAACTATACCTATAAATGCAGTAATATCTCCGTTAGTCGGAATCCCTCAAAACCAAAACTCTCCGATAGCGGGAATTGATATTTTCTCAGAAAATCGTTCCCGAAGCTGGAATTTTCCGGAACGATTTTCTGAGGGGCACATTTTCTGGAAAATTTAAGATATTTTTTCCATTACCCGGAAAATTCCAGGGATGTGGGAGTTTTTTCCAGGTTTGGGAGGTAAAAATAAGGCGCATTTTCCGGAAATTCACTAAAAAAATTTCCAGTACCTGGAAAATTCCGGGGATGGGGGATATTTTTCCGGGTTCGAGAGATGATATAATGCATCATTCTGGAACTTCCGAGAACATTTTTCTGTTACCCAGAAAATTCCGGGGATGCGTTTTTTTTCTGGCTTTGAGTCGCCTCGTTACCCGGAAATCTCTCATTCCCGGAAATGCTCTTCACCGATTATTCTGGCTAATGGAGATATCACTTAGAAAGTTGTATGTTAGGTCAAGGTTAAGAGGTAAATGCTGTTGTTAGATTTTAATTCTAAGCTCCCTTTTCCTCCTTGTTTGTTAATATTAAGTTCACGTACAATTTTAGGTAGCAGAAATGATCTCACTTTTGGAGGTTTGGCCAAAGCTATCTCCAGACCGTGCCCTGGAACTACTAGATTATGCATATGCTGAACCTGCTGTCAGAAGTTTTGCCATAGTGTGCCTAGAACATATCAGGTAAGTTAAGGGACATGTTCTTTTAAGGAAGGACAATGTTGAAAGGAGTATAAAGTGATATTATCCTTTTTTCAAGTATGGCTGTAATAAACAGTGAACAGTAATGCATAAGATTTTAGGAGATTATGGGGTTTGGGTGAAGATTTTGTATGATTATTTGATGATGATTTGCTGCCAGCTTATACAGTACGGTATATTGTTATGAAAAGATGAAACCTGAGCCCTGTATCCTGTACTCTGTATAATTACTGTGTTTGGATAACATTAAAAAAATATGTAGGTAATATGTATGCAGTAAATGAATTGGCACAGTTCTTTTCAGCTTCAGGATCAGACTGTCACATGTCCACCACTGAACTTGTGTCCTTTGATTTGAAATTGATTTATTTTATTTCTTTTTTATGATTAATATTTTGTTTTATTGGGTGATTATTATTTGAATGTCATGAAATAATGGTAGAGAGAGAAAGACTAGGATATGTTGTAATTGCAATACGTAATTGTGGAAGATTAACTGTGGGAGGTAAATGAAAAAAAAGACTTAGAAGCAAATTGTTTCACTGTAGGATGTTGTCGCATTGTGTTGTGTAATATAAGTTTTTTGTCCTCTGGGTAGCTGAGGTAGCTTTTAGGTTGAAGAGTATAATTTGTGTTCCAGTTTACCCAGCTGTGAATGGGTACTGGCCATGTTGCCTCCTTGTGTACCAAAGTTTTTGTATACAGTGTTCTGTGTATATATATATATATATATATATATATATATATATATATATATATATATATATATATATATATATATATATATATATATATATATATATATATATATATATATATATATATATATATATATATATATATATATATATATATATATATATATATATATATATATATATATATATATATATATATATATATATATATATATATATATATATATATATATATATATATATATATATATATATATATATATATATATTAGACAAGAATTAAATGCATTTAGGTTATTAATTTGTTATTTATTCCACAAAATAGTGATGACGACTTGCTGTTATACCTGCTACAACTGGTACAGGCCCTCAAGCATGAAAATTATCTCTACTGTCATCTAGTGGAGTTTCTTCTAAGCCGTGCCTTGAGAAATATGCGTATTGGTCATTATTTCTTTTGGCATCTCAGGTAATTATGTGCTAATGTGACTTGAACTTTAGCTTAATAATTAAATAACTGAAGGTTTCATGTTTGTAGAAGTAGTATTAGTAATAGTAGGCTTGTGTCTCAAAAGATTTATAAATTGTTTTTATGTTACCAGTGATGAAGGTCATTGGTACTCACTGTCGGCCTGTTAGGGGTTTGGGCTTGAATATTTTTGGAATATTTGTCACTATTTTTTAAGTTTTCTGTAGTTAAGGGGCAGTGTCAGTAAACTTCAGAGCCACTGGCTTTTTTAAACTGAATTTCTTATCTCAGACTTTTTAGTAGGATTTTTTTTTTTTTTTTTTAAAGTTTATTACAATTTACAAATGATATCACCTAATTGGTTAAAAAAAATTATATATGATACAAATTTACTTTGGGATCCTGAAAAGCACTACAAGTCTTCTTAAAGTGTTAATATTTGGAATTATTTATTTGTATTCATTTTTTAAAGTGAGGACACCATTTTTTTACAATGAAGTTGAAAAATGAATTTGTCCGCTATATCTATTATCTCCCCACATTTGTTTGGGTTGGGTCAATGATCAGGATGTCGAGAGGAAAATTTTTTTTCAGCTATATGTCAAACCCTATGGAAGATGGATCTTTTGTGAAATATGTAAAATATCCTAAGATACTCTTTGGTGAGATATCATTGTAATTTTGCTTGTACCTTTACACCATTTAGCCTCTCAAACTTTTTAAGTCTATTTTGTAGTCATAAATGAGCCATTCACTTTCTTAAAATATTTCTTTGGCAAGGTCTGAGATGTACGTGCCCTCTGTTTCCATACGATTTGGACTGATCTTGGAAGCTTATTGCCGTGGGTCTGTAGAACACATGCGTATTCTTCTACGACAGCTGGATGCTCTTCATAAATTCAAAGGTATGTGAACAATAAGTTGCTGAGGTACTGCAAGTTATAAGCTTTAAATAATTTTAGCTCACACATATAAGGCTTTTTTGTGATGCATTATGCTCACTCAACCCAAGGGTCACCTTTCTCTGATTATTACCAGTTCCTACTAACTTTCATGATACTGTACAACCAAATAACAGTTGTCAACATTTCACACAAAAATCACCTATACACTGTATGAATGCATGTTAAATGAAATTGCTTGTGAACAGAGTGAAGCAACCTAACATAGTTGGGTTCAGAGATGGAAATCTGAGTGTTGGTACTCTGTGGGGATGATTGAGTGAGATTTTCAAGACATTGAGCTGTAGAAAACATGATGTCTGCTCTGTACAAGAAACTAGATGGATAAGGGAATCAGTAAGGTTAATTACTGGTAAGAATGAGAGGTACGAAATATACTGGAAAGGTAGTGATTCTGGGTCAGGTGGTATAGGGCTCTTTATTGCTGAAAAAGGGGTAGAGAAAGTACCAAATGAGAAAATGGTAAATGCAAGAATTCTGGTTTTGAAGTTACTTGGTAGGCAAGAGTCTAGTGACTGTTATATTTGCATATGCCTCACAGGTTGGGCTGAGTGAGGAAGAGAAGGGCAAGTTCTGGGATGAGTTGGTCCATATAGTGTCAGAGCTTGGTGAAAGGGAAATTGTAGAACTGTACAGGTTGAACCCTTCTAATCTGCCTGGCACCCCTCAGGACCTGACTGGTGCCATACCATAGATGTTTCCAAACTGCAGATCAGCTAAAGTCCGGTGAAAAAAATCCAATATTCTACCATTTTCCACAAAAACTAACATTATTTTACAGAACATAATAAATAATAGTAAAATAATCTGCCCATCATGAAGAAAAACTCGCTTACAAATGGGTTGTCGCTTGGCTATGTTTTACATTTAGTGCACACTAAGGCCTACAGGAGCAATAAACGGACTAAATATTCTATAGATTTATATTTAGATATTGTAATATCTAGTGGGTTTGTATTGAAAATAGTAATTCATAATATAGATATTTTTTATTTACTTATTTTTTAATAATATATGCTTCAGTAAACTACGGCACCGTATATCTCGGCTTATAAGACGGAATTTGAACATTAAAAAATCTGCCCAAAGTTAGGGGGTCGTCTTAATCACCAAGTATAAAATTCTTACCTCTTAAATATTGCGGTTTAGCATGTCAAGAGTGGTGATGGAAACATGGTAAACCACTCACAAAGTCCTACCAGGGAAAGTGACCTTGACTGTGACCGCCTGTGGCTATTTTTAGCCGTCCTTGTGTTCGGAGGTGGTCAGTAATGCATATCTGTATATTTACTGATCATAATACTTATCTCCTATAAATAATTAATTTAAAATTAATTTTTTTACAAAGAATATTCAGTAAATGACTGCGTTAATTCTTGAAACTACCGACAGTGGTAAATTTAGGATATAAATGATGAACAGAAGTCACTTCATGGAGTCATGGATTCGGAGTTTGGTCCTTAATGATCACCTACCAGTTATAATGCTAGCCTCCCTTTTTCGCGAAACAAGTATATAAATTAAAGAAAATACTTGCAGTGTGTTTAATGTATTACAGTATATTATAAATAAATAAATAAACAAATAAATCGGCAAATCTATTTTAAGTAAATGGAAATATTTTACTCACACCAACATTAGTTCCAATTAAATAACTGCCGCTTAAGTGAGTCACTAGTGTACACCAGCCGGTATAATTTGATGCCAATACTTGAAGTGAATTGGCATTATTTTAAATAACCAACAATAAATAAATGGAAAAAAGATCAAAGGTGAGAAACATTATATTGTATGTATGTTGTGTTGTCAAAGGAAGAGAAACAATTGAAACTCTGCAATTGTGTGTAAATGAGACAGAAAGATAAATCAGCAACCTAAGACTTGGTCACAATTTTCGTGATGCCATATGGAAGTAGGGTCTACCATTAGACAATACTGTACATTGTGCTTCCAATATCTTCCCAGGCAGTAGAATCTCCCCATTTGGTAGCTGCCTAAAACTTTTAGTAATATTACTTTGATACAACATGATAAATTAGACAAACAATGAAAATAAACAAACAAAAGTTATTTACCAAGACCTCTCTGAGAACAGAGGGATGTAGGGGGAAGGAAGGAGGTTGAGATAAGACAGCTATTTATAGCCTGTCTTTGTGTAGGAAGTCGACCACACTAGAAATAATTAATTTTATTATGGTAGTGTTGTGAGGATGTGTGAGTGGTGTGGGGGGTTGTGGTAGTGTTGTGAGGATGTGTATGTGGTGTGGGGGGTTGTGGTAGTGTTGTGAGGATGCTGTAAGAGTAGTGTGGGGGCTTTGTGGTACAGTTGTGAGGATGTGTAAGTGGTGTGGGAGGTTGTGGTAGTGTGAGGATGTGTGAGTGGTGTAGGGGGGGTTGTGGTAGTGTTATGAGGATGCTGTATGAGTAGTGTGGGGGCTTTGTGGTTCAGTTGTGAGGATGTGTGAGTGGTGTGGGGGGGTTGTGGTGGTGTGAGGATTGTAAGTGGTGTGGGGGTTGTGCAGTGTAGTGTTAGGGAGGATGCAGTATGAGTAGTGGGGGGCTTTGTGGTTCAGTTGTGAGGATGTGTGAGTGGTGTGGGGGTTGTTGTGCAGTGGTAGTGTTAGGAGGATGCGGTATGAGTAGTGTGGGGACTTTGTGGTTCAGTTGTGAGGATGTGTGAGTGGTGTGGGGGGGTTGTGCAGTGGTAGTGTTAGGAGGATGCGGTATGAGTAGTGTGGGGGCTTTGTGGTTCAGTTGTGAGGATGTGTGAGTGGTGTGGGGGGGTTGTGCAGTGGTAGTGTTAGGAGGATGCGGTATGAGTAGTGTGGGGGCTTTGTGGTACAGTTGTGAGGATGTGTGAGTGGTGTGGGGGGGTTGTGGTAGTGTTGTGAGGATGTGTGAGTGGTGTGGGGGGGTTGTGGTAGTGTTGTGAGGATGCTGTATGAGTAGTGTGGGGGCTTTGTGGTACAGTTGTGAGGATGTGTGAGTGGTGTGGGGGGGTTGTGGTAGTGTTGTGAGGCTGCTGTATGAGTAGTGTGGGGGCTTTGTGGTACAGTTGTGAGGATGTGTGAGTGGTGTGGGGGGGTTGTGGTAGTGTTGTGAGGATGCTGTATGAGTAGTGTGGGGGCTTTGTGGTACAGTTGTGAGGATGTGTGAGTGGTGTGGGGGGGTTGTGGGAGTGAGTCATAACCACACACCACCCTCAACACACTACCTCTTTCCTGCATCACCATCCAACACTACCAACGTGCAACACACCTGGTCACCTCTACATTATTAACACCTATACTGGAGTTGATTGGGATCATGTGCTGTGTACATCGATGTATTTCTGCCCGACACTGAATACGTCATCAACCTCTAGGGTCCAGGATAATATTAAGCCCTGGCACGGTGACTCCTCTCTCTTAAAGTGCATTAAGGTGATTGTATTTGGCGTCATCTAATCCCTAACTTCATAATGGAGTTGTCAAGGCTTCACTGTAATTACAATCTCCAGTTTTTTAGTTTCGTTTATTCAACTGGTATTATATCTACAAGAGTTATTTAACCAGACGTGGACATTTCTTTTTGTAAAGTCATATGTAGTATGAAATACAATATTTCAGTATACGAGTGTCATGTTGAGATGGGAGTGGTGACATTAGTGGGGCAGCTAAATGCAATTTTTCAAGAGAATCATGAAAATGGTGGTACAAGCACCAAATTTGGCATGGTAATTCTCTAATGGTTACTAGTCAAGTCTGCCTGATTGGCCATTTAAAAATTCAAGATGGCGACCATTTTTCAAGGTGACCGCCATATTGACCTTCAAAAGTTGATTTTTCTTATAGAAATTGATGTAGTTGGTCAATCTGGGTGATCTTGGTGTCGATATGTATGTTTTCAAGCATGCTTAGATGATTTTTTATAGTTTTAAGTCCATTGTAACATTTTTATCCACATAAAATAACACTTTTAGTAAAAAATATAACAAAAAAGAACTTACTAAAAAAAAGTACGGTAAACAGTGGGAACACAGTCCCACCACCGAGACGAGGTAACACTCCCACCACCGATCGTCTCGTGTGAAGCAAGCATATAAATTAAAGAAAATACTTGCAGTGTGTTTAATATGTTACAGTATATTATAAATAAACAAATAAATCGGTAAATCCATTTCAAGTAAATGGAAAAATTTTACTCGACACCGACATTAGTTCCAGTTACCGGTAAATAGCAGACGCTTCAGTGACGTCACTAGTGTTTACACTACACCAGCGGGTAACATTTGATGACATTACTTGAAGTGAATTGGCCTTATTTTAAAAAACCAAGGATGGTTGGTAGAGGACTACTGAGTCAGTGGGTAAGTGTCACATTTGGGGTACTGGTCTTATACAGCGAATAGAGCTCAAAAGCTACTTTTTAAATGGAAATTTGGGGGGGCCGTCTTATGCACCCCGACGCCTTATAGGCCGAGATATACGGTATACAAAATATTATATTTCTGACACCTACCTCAGATTTTTGGTTTTCATGATGAGTATGTTACTGTATATAAATTCTTTGTAGACACATTTGCATACCAAGATATCCGCACACATCTGTTTGTGCTTATGTTTAATTATTATTACATACTTTTAAATTATAATGAAGCCTTTGCAATGTGTTTCAGAGGTGAGAGAGATAGTAAATGAAAATCGGTCTGTGAGAGACAGAGCAGAGAAACTCATGAGGGAATATATGAAGAAGCCTCACACCAAAGCAGCCTTGTCACATTTCCTTAACCCAATTGATCCAATGTACAGGATTAGCACTATAAAGTAAGAACTCTTAGACATTGTGTTATTGTATGTCTCATATTTGATACTGTGATGATCCTTATCATATCTGCCATTCTTCACTCCTTCAGGAAGCTCCCCTCTAAGGAGGTGACCATGACAGCATAGCCTCCAAGCCACCTTATTACTACATGTACCCTTTTTCCTATCTGTTCTCCTTATTCTCTTCTTGTTCTCTTCTCAATGCATTGCTCCACTTTTCTCTCCCTGATGTAAACTATCTTCCCCTACCCAGTGTACTTATCATGTTGCCTCTCTCCTTATATGTAAACCTTTAGAAGTGACCAGGGAACAAGCGATAACTTTATAAAAAATTTCTCTCAGACTACAGCCAGGGCTTGTGAATCTGGTTAATTCCTCCAGTATTATATACCTTAACCCCTCAAATACAATGCCCATTGGTGTGACATGAAGAAATTTTGAAGGTAACCTTTGTGAGCAGTTATCTGTCAGAGCTGAAGAATGAATAGGTAAATTTAAACAAATTGACAGAAGTATGCGAAGAATATGAAGCGTGTACGACAAGAGTGGACAAAGTACTACTACTATGGTCAAAAGCAAGATTTATTCACAAAAGGGTAGGGAAACCACCCCTGTATCCCAAGAGAGGGTCAGTTACTCAGAATGGAAGTACTGTATGACAAATTTTGCTATTAAATAAAATTATCCATGCATCACTACATGCAGGGCTGACAGGCAGATCACAGAGAGGAAAGCACCAAAGGTCTCCCTTCTTTTTTTTTCTGCCGCTTTGCCACTCTGGTTGTACGCGCCTCATATGGTCTAAGCACAAACATAACAAAATTAATATTCTTTTGTTCAATAAGACTGACCAATACCCAACTCAAAAGAAAGTATATAGCTACAGTATATACAGGCAGTTAGTACAATATCTGACCTATCTGCAACTGCTTTTTAGATAGAGGGAGAAAAGGTAAATCATAACATTTACTCTCGAAGATGTGACTGACAACTTATTCCATCTGAACCCAAAGGTTAGCTTCCCCACTTCACTCTAAACACAGTTCAGGAAATATACTGTATTGGACAAAATTATTTGTTGTCAATAAATATCATAGAGGTGACTTTTCAGCTTCCGAAGGATCTTCATAGTACATTATATTATGTTGGTCTAAATCATATTTATTTGAATGTGAGAGGAAGTGCTTCACTGTCATGGTTGCTTATATAAGTGTAGGGCTGAGGAAATGGACTCTGAGTCTTCCATTGCATAACTGAAAATTACAAATGCTCATCTAGGAAGCTTCCACTCCAAGTTTAAACTCAATTCACTTAAATTACAATGCAATATTGTGGATTGTTTTTCTTTATTAAAGTGAAAATATATTTGTTAAAAAAAATAATTGACTACCAAGAAAATCATATAGTTGATTATTTTATAGGGTAAACAGTGCTTACCTTGCTTCTTCATAATACAGTACGTTCATGTTATTGACAAGATCTTCACACTTGGCATCTGGTCATCACACCCAAAGCGTTAAGATGTCTTGCTCAAGGAACTAGTTCTTCGTGATTAAGAGGTTAAGTGATTGATGAGATTGAGGAGTGAATGATGGAATTTAGCAGTTTGATTGTGTAGTAAACATGAATTACAGAGATTTAGGAATAAAATAAAGATTTACTTGTTGAAAAAAGAAGGTTGGGAAGAAGTGAAGGGAGGAGGATGAGGAGGAATAAAGCTTATGTAGTAAGAGTTATGGTTTTACTAATCAAGGATTGTTCATAACATTGCGTGCGTGCGTCGGCTCCCACCTGTCCACCACCGCGGACATCGATGAAGAGATTCAGCATCAGATCAGATGTGCATCTCAAGCCTTTGGCAAACTCCGTACCCGTGCCAAAGCAGCTACTTTACAGTCACCTAATGAATAGTAAACGTAATGCTGGCGGGTAACTGAAAAGGTATAAGGATAGTCTTAAGACAAACCTGAAAAAGTGCCAAATCGACCCCCTCACCTGGGAGGGGATTACTCCACACTGTAAGGCTTGGAGGAGCACCACCCAAGGTGGTGTCAATACTTTCGAGCTAGCCCGACTGCATAATGAAGCAGACAAGCGCCAACGCCGAAAAGACGCTGCCGCCGCCCCTCCCGCACTAGATGGAGCCCTCCACATGTGCAACATCTGTGAACAATCTTGCCGGTCCCATATCGGTCTCTTTAGTCACCTCAGAACTCACCAACATAGGTGACATCCTTAATAACTCGTACCATTGTATCATAGCTGGATGATCGTCATACTCGATTCTCAGTGACTACAAGGTAGTAGTATTGTGTGTGTGTGTGTGCGTGTGTGTGAGTGCTTGTGTGTGTGTGTGCGTGTGTGTGCGTGCGTGCATGCATGCGTGCGTGGATCAGATATTAGTTAAGTATTGTGTGTGTGTGTGTGTGTGTGGATCCAAGATACAGTAGACCCTTGTTATTCGCGGGTGTTAGGTTCAAGGAATAGCGTGAATAGGCAAAACCGCGAATAGCAACTTATACTGTATACCTACAGTATATGCCACAACTGACCAGCTGCAGCAGCACTCATCCCCTCTTTTAACTTATCTAATTATTCAACATTCTTTGTCAGGGTCATCATTGACTTCTGCCTTTTACATTTTACCCCACTAGCATCACTAGCACTGACACTAGGCAGTCTTTTAGGGGCCATTTCACACAGAAACACTAAAGTTTTGAGAGTATAACATGAGATGTTGTATGGGGTGACTCGTTGTGCTGTGGGAAAAAGCTTGCAAGTTAGCTACCATCAGCTTTCCATGAATTGTCGAAATTGCGAACCGCAAACCTGCGAATGGCAAGGGTCTACTGTACTGTAATTGTCTTTAGGCTGAGCCTTGAGAAAATGCTGGACAGCACATATATATGAGGTGCTTAGGGCATGAACAAGAATTTAACTCTGTATTCTGGTGTGTTGGTGTTTTGTATTTTGTATTGTTTTATCTACGTCTCGCTTGAGTGTCTCGTACGTTCTATTGATTAGCTAGTCAGTGTTTGTATGTACATCTGATTCAGCTGTCACGAACCAACTCCAGGCTAGAGAACACTTACTGCTAGATTTGTTTAGTTAACGTGCCACTCTTGCTGCTAAACAAGAATGTAATAACAAAGCTCAGGTTACAGCAACATATCAACACAAATTAAGTTTGCAAAATTTTGCTTTATTTGCAAAGGGTTTATTATTTTACCCAGCTTTATGATCTTGTTCTGAAGGTGTGTCAAATTCCTCTTATGTTTTTTCATATGGGGATTAAGATCATATGAGTATAGTACCAACTCCACATATGTAAATGATAATCAGATCAAAGACAGAGTTGTACCTTACATAATGGTGTAGCCATTTACAGCTTGTTCTGTTTTATCATGTTATTTTGCTACTTTGTTTAAACTTCCTTGTGAACATGAAACTAATTGTCAGAGCAAGCATGGTTGCAATGATATTGTAATACACTGTACAGTAGATATCATATGATGCATCATCATCTTGATATGACTCAATATTCACTGTTTTATTAGGTCAGATGAATGCAAACCCAAGGACAGCAAAATGGCTCCCCTATGGCTAGTGTTTGAGAATGGTGACCCCCATGGCAAAAATATTTATTTACTCTATAAATTTGGTGATGACCTGCGACAAGACATGCTGACGCTGCAGATGATCCGTGTTATGGACAAAATTTGGAAGGATAATGGAATGGACCTTAGGTAAGTATCTTCTAAATTTATTAGTTCTTAATCTCATTTTTACATAATTATATACATCAGAAAATATGTAGATAGATGTTCCTCCAGTTGTTAGTCATCTGAGAGAAAAACAGCTCTTTAGTTTTGGATCACTTGTTTGACAGAGGAGACTACAGTATGATGTTAGATGGTAGAGTGGTGAAGTGCAAGTCTGGACAAAATACTGTACACCGGGAGTCTTGAATACCTTTGTTTACTTTGGACTGTACAGAGGTAACAAAACATCAAATAAATATTTTGCTTCAGAACTTTATAATGGTGCTCAGTGATACAGCAGTGCTGAGGTAATCAACTTACGAAAGGTTTAATAAATAATCATAATAGTACATAATGCCCTGACAGTTCACAGATTTTTATTTGAGAACCTGACTATTCGTGGAGGACACCCTGGATGTACACCAAGAATGTCTTAAGGGTAGTTTTAAAGTTATTGGCATTTTTGCGGCTGGGACAGGGAGCCATTCATTCTAGAGACAGTAATTTCTTTCATTTGTATTGTAAATTTATATATATATGTGTGTGTGTGTGTGTAGATACACACACATAAAACACATACAAACAAATAATAATGGGAAAATCCTCTCACAAATAATCAGAAACAAGACAACAAAATTTGGAAAAAATGTGAGTCTACCCTCAAGTCAACTCTGTGCTTATGTGTTGGCCGTTAGGATAATTATTGCTTTTACCTGTATTGTATTGTAAATGTGTGTGTGTGTGTGTGTGTATAAACACACACACACACATACACACATATAATACAGGTAAAAGAAATAATTGTCCTAACGGCAAACACATAAAGGCAATATACATTTCTTTGCACAGAAGTAAAAATATACCCCCCTACCCCCCCGGTACCCCGGTCAGCAAATGTTATTCGAGGATTTGGCTATTCGCGGCCATTTTGAGAACCTAACCCCCGTGAATTTTAAGGGCATGCTGTACCATAATAAATAAATTTCTCACTTTACAGAATGAGTCCCTACTCATGTATGTCTACTGACAATCGGGAAGGCATCATTCAGGTTGTACTGAATGCTGAAACTATTGCTAATATTCAAAGACAAAAGGGAATGTTCTCAGCAACTTGTGCATTTAGAAAAGGATCTCTGTTAGGTAAGTGTTATTTTCTTTTAGAAAAGGATCTCTGTTAGGTAAGTGTTATATTCTTAATAACTATTAATTTTTTTTATTGGATGTTATAGGTAGTGAGTAATTTAGATATGTAGAACTTCCAATGTATTGTGATTCAATACATCGATTTCATTATGTAATGGCACCCTAAATTACAGTGGCCCCTCGGTTAACGAACTCAATCTGTTCCAGAAGGTCGTTCGTTAACCGAAACGTTCGTTAACCGAAACCATTGTTTCAATGGGTTTTTGGGTAATTGGTTCCAGCTCACCGAAAATTTCCTAAATTCAACAAAAATGGTAGAAAAGTTCACTTACTTTGAGGTGTGTATGTAGAAGGCTCCTGGATGATGATGATGATGATGGGATTTAGAATGGGGTGGAGGAGAAGGAAGAAGAGAAGGCATTGGGGTGGAAGAGAAGTCACCCCATGGTGCCATTTCACCCATAAAATTTTAGCTCTCTGGTTTAATTCAAGATTATTTTCTTTAAATCAATGCTGCACTGCATTATATATTGTCAATATATAAAATATATTTCAAAATGACCAATAATTTGCTTGGAAACACAGAAAAAAAGCATTTAGTTGAAGAGAGTCTCAAGCAAGATGTTACCTCCAGTGAAAACAGAGAGAGACTGACGCCTGTTTGCTGTGTTAAGAGGCTGGATGCCGCGCATTAAACTAGTCACTTTACCTTCAATTTCGTTCAATAATTGTTAAAATGACTAAAAAATTGAATATTAAACTTTTAAAATTATTGAATAGTATAAACTTCTTGATATTTACAAAAATAGTAAGGAATTTAAGCCCTAGAACCGATTAATGTATTGGCGGACTGATACTAAAGCTGGTTGCCCGGTCAGTGCAAGCGAAAACATGTTGAGGTCGGTTCGTAAGAAGTTCGTTAAGCGAATTTTTTTTCGTTAACCGAATTGAAGATCCTTATGGAAGGCAGTTCGTTAATCGAAATTACGTTAACCGAGGTGTTCGTTAAACGAGGGGTCACTGTACTCACATTTCTTTATTTCTCGGTCAAACTCTAATCTTGCAGTGCAAGCTCAGAAAAATAAATTACTTTTACACTAAATAGACCACCACATTCATCATTTGACAACAAAGTGTTTGTTGTTTATTTTATTATACCCTCCAGTACTTTGAGCAAAAAGAGAAGGGAAAGTAAAATAAATGCTGCTGCATCTGGTGATGTTAAAAAGAAAAGGTATACTATTACTTTGGATAAGAAATTTAAAATATTCCCCTTCAAAGTCCCCCTGAGAATTACCCTTTTACCTCCAAGCAATAATATCTTCTCATATGTAACTATTCCCCAAGTCCAGTATATAAATGTATGCCATGATTTAAGGTTAGAAGCAGAGGAACCACAATATTCTGTAGAGGTGACAGGAATCATTCAGCAGTAAAATCAGCATATGTTGTTGGTAAGAAATTAGACAACATTAAAGTGAAAATATTCAGGAACATATCTCAGTCACACTGTTGCTGTGCTAAAATGATATGAAGTTCACCATCCTGAATATATTTTTTAATTTTAAAGTTTGAGGTACAGTGGGGTATGCTATAACGAATCTAATTGGTTCTTGAACCTTGTTCGTTATAGCATTCGTTCGTTATAGGATTAATCTGTTCCAGGCCCCCAAATACAACCACTTAACACTGAAAAATATAATATAAAATTGTACAAATTGTAAAAAAGTGCATACATATGCATCTAAACCCCTGAAATAAAGAATATTATGAATACTTGTAATAAAAAAACAATAAATTAGTAAAATAAAATAATTTTTTTTTTTTTAAATAATGTTCGTTGTAGGAGTTTCGTTCGTTATACTGTAGCATTCTCAATTTTATAGGTAAAACCGTTCGTTATAGGAATATTTGTAGCAGGATCCGTTCGTTATAGCATACCCCACTGTACATGTTTCCAGAGTCTGGGAATTACACACAGGGTGTCACAAAATCAAGATTTACCATGGAGAGCGGCATATAATTAAAAGTGTGTATACCTGCTTAAGTTATTGGTTTGGGCTATCTTCACTGTCATGAGCATTGTAATCTTGCATTATTGGAATGATGGCTACTTATCTAGTTAGCCAACTGTAATTGAACACCAGACACCATAAGCAGAGCAGCAGTATGAATGATACAAAAAGTTAGAATTATATTTTTAAGGTATTTGTTAGAAAACTGACATGAGATTTTATAATTTACCCAAGATTGACTGATTTATTCATTTTTGCAGCCTGGTTGAAGGATCACAACCCTACTGAGACATTGCTCAACAAAGCAATTCATGAGTTTACACTGTCTTGTGCTGGCTACTGTGTTGCTACTTACGTCTTGGGTATAGCTGATCGCCACTCTGATAACATAATGGTTATGAAGAATGGCCAACTTTTCCACATTGACTTCGGCCACATTCTGGGACACTTTAAGGAAAAGTTTGGTATTAGACGTGAACGTCAACCATTTGTCCTTACGCATGACTTCATCAATGTCATCACCAAGGGGAGACAGACACGCTCAGAAGAATTTGAACATTTTAAAGGGTATTGTGAGAAGGTGAGTATGATTTTTGTATGATATTTTTGAAGGATGTTTTGCATAAACTGTTCTCAGTTAATGACAATGTTTCTTACATGTTTATATACGAGGTCTGTCCAAAAAGTAATTTAGGGTGCTGCACTATATCAAAAGTGTAGTACAGTCTCAAATTGTGCTATATTGAAGGTTTATTATACCTGGAGATTAGTGAATCAGTATGTAATGATTTATGTATTACTGTATGTTGGTAGTATGAGTAAATAAATGATATCTGGAGATGATTTTGGTTCCAGTAATATGGAAGTAACAAGGAATATGGAGAAATAATGTAACTTGCATTATTATTTCTGATATTATACATTCAATTTGAGGTTGCAAGCTTTGTACGAGGTCTGTCCAAGAAGAAACCAACCTTTGAAAATACAAATTTATTGCTTTACTTACAACTTAATCAGACTTGTCTCCTTCAAAGAACTCCCCTCCATTCTTGATACACCGCTCTCAACACTTTTTCCAGTTCTGGAACGCGTCCTGGAACGTGTTTTGAGGGATGGTGTGCAGGTCTCGTAGCGAATTTTCTTCTGTCTCTTCTATGATCTGAAATCGGCTACCTTTCAGGGTGGATTTCAACTTTGGGAACAAAAAAAAAGTCCGCAGAGGCCAAATCCGGAGAGTAGGGCGGCTGAGGGACGATAGTCGTCTCAAGCTTCGCCAAAAAGGCATGGATAAGGAGCGATGCGTGAGCAGGTTGCATTGTCATGGTGCAGCATCCAGGTCTTGTTTGTCCACGCCTCGGCCTCTTCCTTCACACTGCCTTCCTCAAACGCTTCAGGACCTCCAAGTAAAACTCTTTATTGACTGTCTAATCACGTGGAACAAACTCACGATGAATGACGCCCTTCCAATCAAAAAAGACGATCAACATCAACTTCACATTTGAGTGACTCACCTGCTTTTTTTGGTCGTGGCGACGATGTTCCAATCCACTGCGATGACTGCCTTTTTGTTTCGACATCATAGCCGTACACCCACGTTTCATCACCTGTTATGACATTTTTCAGAAAGTTTTCATCAGCATTCGAACGATTAAACAGCTCCTGACTGACTTTGACACGGTTCTCTTTTTGCTCATCTGTCGGCAGACGCGGCACAAATTTTGCGGCAACACGATGCATCTTCAGTTTTTTGGTTAAAATCGTGTGGCACGAACTTTTACAGATGCCTACTTCTTCGGAAACTTCACGGACAGTCAGGCAACGATTTTCACGGATCACAGCACGCACTTTCTCAACGTGATCGTCATCCGTTGATTTGGAAGGCAATCCAGATTTGGGATCGTCTTTGAAATGATGGTACCACATGTGACATTGCGTACGGCTCAAACAATCCTCCCCATAAGCCTGTTGAACATTTGAAAAGTCTCCTTAAAGTTTTTTCCCAATTTGAAACAGAATTTCACGCAAACATGTTGCTCTTCAAGATCCTTCATTGTTCAACTTGCAACAAATCGCCAAGTGCACTAAACACACGTTCACTCTAGCGCGTGTAGCTCGATGACTAATTGATGTGGCGTGATGCGGGACTAAAGCTCAAGGTCACCGCTACACAGCGCTGCTGTCGCGTGCACGCTGCGCCGGCTCGTTATTTAAAAAGTTTTGGACAGACCTCGTAAACTATTCGTATTGATATAAAAAAAAACCCATAAATCTGTTTTAAAGAGATCTTATGTAGAATTTTGTTACATCTTGGGCTAATTTTTTTTTTTTTTTTAATGTAATAGTTGGTATACAGAATTTTGATTTACAGAGAATGTTTTATAAAAAGTAATCCCTCTCTAACTATTTTGGGAGACCATACAACAATGTAAACCATTTCACTGCATCATATATATCTGGCTAGCATTCTAAAAAAAAAATTTAATTAGAAAATACTGTATGAATTCCAAATTTTATCAGTTTTCATATTTTCACTTTAAAACTGAATAATATTAATTATTAAGTGTGTATTTATAAGCATGATACTGTACTAGTAAGCTGTCATATGAAGTTTTCTTTATACAGCACAGCAGAAGCTCTACATAAACATGTGTGCTTTACTTTCAGGCGTTCCTAATTTTGCGGAAATACGGCTCTTTTATCATTTCTCTTTTTGCTATGATGATATCTACTGGACTCCCTGAGCTTCAGAGTGAAAAAGATCTCAACTATTTAAAGGAAACTCTGGTAAGTATATTTATATTGTACATAGTTAATATCCCACGAGAACATGCTGATGTAGTAAGCACTTGATTTAATTTAATTGGTGATCACATTTTTCAATAACCTGGTGTACAGATGTGGGCAAAATTCCCTGTACACTTGGACATTTCAAGGACTTGAGGATCATTAGGTGAGGAGGATTTTCTTCATGTTAGAAATGATTTTTAGTTTTTGCTTTTCCCTCCATTTTGTGATTGTGACAAAATATGTGAAAAGCAACTTTATTTTACATAAGTCAGACATATACAAATATAGCACCATTTATCCGGCGCCCCAGTACTGTATCTGGAATGCTAAAAAAAACTGGCTATGTTCTGAGCGGGGAAATTTCCACACGGCCCTTTTTAGGCTATTATGGGACCCACTTTCACACCAGTGCTGAATACCGTATGCCAGGGGTCAGCAAACTTTTGAACACACTGTGCCAGTTTCTAACATTTCTACTGCCCTGCATGCCAACTATAATTTTCAATATGCAAATTATTGTCATGTGTATTTTGATAAATAATGTTATTTGAAATACACACAATTACATATGAATGGTAAGATATATAATCAAATACAAAATACTATAAAATGCTCTCACCAATTTAGTGTGATCCCTGTCACTGCTTCCGCTTGCTCAGTGTTGCTATGTTGGGAGTATACTGTATCTGGACACCTTAAGCAGCTTAGGATGGGAATCTCATGATCACTCACAGTCGTTTCAAGTGATTTACATAGTTCCGTGAATTCTGCTACCCACAATGAAGACGACTTAAAATTGATCAGCTGCATCTCCAGGTTCCCTTCCATCCACTCAAATAAAGACACAAGTCCAAGTCACTCTCCTCAAAGTTTTCAGGTTTAATTAAAAATGAAAACATTGGGCCAATGTGCTGGAAATCTTGAAATCTGACAAGAGACCTCTGACTTCAGCTCTTGCATGTATGCTGCAATCTCTGTAATGTTCACAGGATGATGTGCTGACTACCTTTTCAGGTGCTTGAAGTAGCGGAAAGTTATAGTTTCAATATCCACTAAGTAAACTGCCAGCTTTGCAACAAAAGCTTTCCAAGTGTCATACAGACCTGCCACTGTTTGTCCTGAACCCTGCAGGTGAAGATTGAGATCATTGAGGTGTTTGGTGATGTCTGGGAGAAACATAAAGTTTTACTACCCATTGGTCATAATCCAATTTGGGGTATTTTTGGCCGTTTTCTTTCAGAAAGATCCTGATTTAATTAAAGCATTCCTCGAACCATTCTAAAACTTTCCCGCAACTGGAATAAAGGGGGTATGTCTCCATATGCACTATTCATTTCATCAAGAAAAGATGGAAATTGTCTGTGTGTAAGAGCAAATCATGCAACCCCCCCCCAAAAAAAAAACATTTCACAGTGGCCATTACTTTATCGAGATAAGTGTTTGAAATTCTGGCTCAGAGATTTTCTTGATGAATAATGCAGTGTAACTTCAGGATGGGGTTCCTGATTTTATCCTCAATTTGCTTGGCAAATCCCCTGTGTTTTCTACCATAGCAGGAGTGCCATCCGTTGTAACTGCAAATATCTTTTTAATATCAACCCCTGTCTCCTCAAAATTATCAATGAATGTTTCAATGTTATCTCCCTGGGTAGTTCCATACATAGGTTTTAAGCAGCACAGCTCCTCATGTACCTCCGTGTCACTGTACCTGGCGACAATAGCCAAATGTGGTATGTCATTTATATCAATGGTCTCATCAACAGCAATACTGAGCACAGTTGCATTTGTTAATGCAAACCATTTTCTGTTCTCTTATATTTGCAGCTATGTCTGATATGTGCCTCTCTACCTTGTAGCTGGCCTCAGTTGCATGATCTTTGTTTGAACTCAGGTTCTTCATTACGCTGCTTTGTTTTTCATAGTGGGATACTGTACTGCCTTCTTAATTGCTTCAGCTTTGTCCGCATTATCCTTAAATGTCTTCTCATGTTTTGTTTCATAATGTCTCTTTACACTTGATGTCTGGCAAACAACATTCTTGCAGCACAGAACACGCACAGCTTGACCATTCTGAAGAATAAATCCAATGTCTCTTGTCCAAGACGGTTGAAACGATTGAATGTTTAATTTGGCTTTCTTGGCAGCTGCCATTGTGGCTACTTAATAATCAGTAGCTTCTGTCACCGCGGCTGAAAGTACTAGTACACTGACCGTGCCTGACGGTCTGAGTAACCAGTGTTGCCACCTACAAATAGAAACTCTGCAAGTAATATAATCTGGTAAATTGAATACTAATAGGATGATGATTGTTTAATTTCAACAAAAGTGTTGTAAATACATATTAAAATTAATAAAACATATATCTTATACACTACAATTTCTTAGATATAGAAAATATCCGAGAAAAAGAATACAAGGCAAACTATGTATTTCATGTTTAGCTAAAATGGCAACACTGGGTCTGACACGACACAAACTACAGCTGAGCAAACGGGTACTGGCTGTATTAGTTCTAGCTCGAGCTTATGTCACAGTTTGTTATTTGAAATGGCACTATTATTTTTTGATTTTGTAATATGTTTTTTAAATCAGGCGTGCCATGGTCAACCTTTTCGCGTGCTAGGGGTTGCCGTCCCCTGCCATATGCTAACCAAAATTACTCTGATGATAATAAACAAAACTTTATACTGTACTGTATTATATAAAATCAGTGTTACACCATGCTTGCTGAAAAAACATGTTCCACAAGGTTTATTTTGGTTGAATTTATTTGGGTACATAAATGACATATATACCAATCATCAAATATCAAACTCTGACTATTATGTTAATAACGAGAGCCGAGAAGTTATTCAGTGTGAAACTGCAGTGATTTTTTATATAATTTCATTAAAAATTACACATTTCTGGTGATACATACTGTACATGTTACCTACTTTCTGATGGTTTTATTGAATTCTTTAAGTTCAAAAACATATACTGTAGTTTGATACTAAAATTTCATATCTAGCCAGAGTAGTTGAAAAGTTTTGATGATTCTGTATATATTGGGTACGTGTCTTCGGGTGGCTGCCATTTTGAATTCTGACCGAAAAAATGAAGTTCCACAAGGTAGATTTTGGTGAAATTTTTTTTGGTATAACCTGACATACTCGTATATACTAAACATAAAATATTAAAATATGGCTGGGTTCAGCCAAATTTATGTAAATTTTTACTGGCCTAATACTAACACTAATACAACATTACTTTTACTTCCTTTTGCAGAAACTGGACTTATCAGAAGATGAAGCCCGAGATCACTTCCGTTCAAAGTTTGATGAGGCTTTGTCCAACGCATGGAAAACTTCTGTCAATTGGGCTTTCCATTCAGTGGCAAAGAATAATCGTTAAAAAGTATCCAGGTCTAGTACTTTATCTTTGGATTTTGTTTGTTTGCTGCTAATATTACCTATTAGCTCATTGACTTTACCAACAAGAAGAAGTTACTCCATTCTAGGGAGTTGTCCTTTCCTGTTAGAACACTGCTGGAGCTACATTGTCACAAAGTGGATTCTGTACATGGCTGGAATATCTCTACAACAGTTAATCACAAAAGTTATAATTGAATGGCTTACAGTGTTACAGTTGACAGTATTTGGCAATAGTTTTGATTTTTGTTTTTAATATTATTTTCATGTTAACACAAGTTGATGCAATACACTCAATTATTGTGCATAAATAAAATTGGTAATGACTTATATACTTTTGAAGAGTGGTAATGAAATAGTTTTATTTGGGAAATGAAGTGATTAATTTGGGGGCCGTCTTATGCACCCCGACGCCTTATAGGCCGAGATATACGGTATTATCTGAGACAAATATATTTTTCAAATGATATCATGTTGAACTTGCATGTACAGTAAAACCTTGATAAATTGGACTTCAATATATTGGAATTCGCCTTTCTTGGACTCTCTGAGGTGCTCTGGACTGCTCCTCTATTCACTAGAAATGTTAAAAAAATTATTTGGAAAATCCAGTACGTATTAGTCTCTGTCTGAGTCCTACCTTCAAATCTACAGTATCAGTGTGCCACACCTCACTACCTACACTCATTTACTTGAACTTTTTGTAGAGTACATAGTATTTTTAACAGGGATACTAGAGGGTTTTAAGAAATAGGTTAAAATTATGTAAGTACAGTATACATATTTTAAGAAATGGGTAAAATAAAAAAAATCTTATGAAAGCAACAACAACACTTGCTTACTGAATACTGTACAGTGATCTAATCAGACATGCTGTAGGCTTAACGAGAGCTAAGACACTACATATGTAAGCAGGCTGGTTGCGGGGAGTGTGGAGGCGGCCTGAAATGGGAGGTTGCTGCATTTTTCAGGTTTATTTATTGCTTCAGTATTATATTCTTGTATGATCAACCTCTTATGGTGTATGGTTCATCATGATTAATATAACATCTTCAATAATAGAGAAAAAATACAATATGTAAGTTGTAATTTGACTTGAAAATAAAAGGGTAAGCTGTATCGGAAGGTATTCACTCAAGATACCTTCGTGTGAAAGTTTTCAGCAAACCAGCTTACAACAGGGTGACTGTAACACACTGTATAGTAATATCTCTGTTAGCTGGAATCCCTCTTAGCTGGAACTCTCTAATAGCCGGAATTTAAATTTGCTTAGAATTTGGGGAAAAATTTCTCTCAATTCTGGGTTTGGGAACGATTTTCCAAGGTTGAAAATTCGATGCATTTTCTGGAAAATTATGAAAATTTTTCAGAAACTCTTCAAATTTTTTTTTTTTCGGGTCTGGGAACAAATTCCAAGGAAGAAAATCAGCTGTATCTTCTGAAAAATCTGGAAACTCTCTGCAAATTTATTTTTCTGAGTCTGGGAGCAAATTCCGAGGATAGAATAATGTATCATTCCGGAAAATTCTGAGACAATTCTAGAAGCTTTCCCTTTTTTTTTCTGGGTCTGGGAGCAAATCCAAGGATGAAATAATACGCAATTTCCAGAAAATTCCGAGAAACTTTTCCTGGTATCATGAAAAATTCTGGGATGGGGAATTTTGGGGGGTTTGAGAGAGTCGTCTTGTTCCCCGGAAATCTGTCATTCCCAGAAGTGCCCTGCACAATTGTTCCAGCTAACAGGGATATCACTTTAATATGAAGATACCTTCCTAATGTCATTTATTACCTTTAAGTGATACATGATGGCTTAATTTGGATACTTGTACACCTAAACAATGGATAAGCCAGTGTATATGCAGATGCATAATACTGTACAATACAACATTACTTCAGTGCTGATAAATACACTGTAATATTATGTATTAGCTGATGATAAATACACTACAGCACAGTATTAATTTACGAAGTGCTGAAGATGGTGTTGTGGTAAGCATGAGTCGTGAAGGAGCTAAACCAATCAGTTGTTAGTCCTTTGTAAACAAACAACTCATGGTGTTGAATGTGGGATTCTTTTTTCAGGAAAGTTGCTTCTTTTATGATAATATTTGATCAACCCAGCATCAAATTAACCTAAATTATATGAGAATTATGATGAAATTACATAAAGAGATGCCATGGTGGAACATCTACTGTGAAACAACCTTCTAAGGATTTCCAACGTGGTTTATGCCAGGATGCTCTTGCTTAACACAATTACTCAAGGTACTGGATGTTTGGACTCAAATTCTAGAACAGGGCGGTAATATCGACAATATATACCTAGATTTTGCCAAGGCTTTCGACAGCGTACCCCATGAAAGGCTGAGAATTAAACTGTAAGGGTAGAGGATTCAAGGAAGTGTCCTAGCATGGATTGAAGACTTTCTTCATGATTGCAAGTAGTGTATGCTGATATAATGGCAAGAAATCATCATGTGTACCTGTGACAAGCAGGGTACCACAGGGCAATGTACTGGGCCCGTTGTTTGTTTTATAAATAACATGCCAGAAGCTATACACTCCTCCATACAAATGTTTGTGAATGATGCCAAGTTATTCAGGGAAATTAAGAACCAAACAGACTGTGAAAAGTTACAGAAAGGTCTTTTGTCAGCTTCAAGAGTGGTCGAAGAAATGGCTGGTATGATTCCATGTCCTGAAGTGTAAGAGGATGCGCCTAGGTCTTACCAACAGTAAGGAGGCATATCACATGTCACAACAGGATGAAGAAACTGCATTAATAGAGATCGAATATGAAAAGGACCCGGGTGTGTATGTTGATAATGAACTGAAGTTCTCGGGCCATTGTGAGAAGGTGATTCAAATAATTAAACTAGTAGGTCTTATAAGAAGGTTGTTCAGATATCTAGGAGGTCCGTCCCTCGTAGCGATCTTCAAGAGTGAGGTGCTTTCACGCCTGGAGTACTGTCACCCCACCCAGTACCCGAGATATGCTAGGAACTGTCAGTTCATTGAAAATGTCCAAAGGAGGGCCACTATGGCACCTTAGTTATCCAGAGAGATTAGAATGGTTGCAACTTCCTAGCTTATACTACAGATGGGAAAGGAGTGACCTAATTAAAGTGTATAAACATCTTAGAGGGCACTACTCAGTCCATACCTGGGGGTCACAGCCACTAGTCCAGAAAACTGAGAATTCTGAACTCTTGGAACAATCTGCTAGAGAGTGTTGTAACAGCACCGAGTGCGAGTTCCTTCAAGACCAGACTTGACCAACACTGGAGCAGGTTTAGATACATTCAGGAGCCAGTGCATGCCCAGTACTTACCAACAGTGTGTAACAGAGACATGACCGACCGGCCAAGTGGCTAACGAGCTGATCAGTGGCAAAGAGTATAAAAGTAAAAGTAAAGGGATCTTTGGGGGGAGGGAGCCGGGAGCCACCCACCTGCACTATCTCCTCCCACCTGCTGTTTCCAGATCACTCTCGTCTCCCACACACAATATACCCCTACGATGATTTTTTTCAAATTTTTATCTTTATAGTACATTACCCTGTACTGTACATTATATAGTTTTCTCTTTATTCATAAGACAACTTCTGTGGTTACTTACATATAAAACTTTACAGTACCTGTACATAACAATCATCTCGGTGGAAACAGTTATACAGGCAACCAGATTTAGGTCTGATTTTCAACCCAGAGTGTTTTGTTTCATGTTTTTTATTGTTGATGTAATAGTGTTTTAATAACCTTGTTATACATTATAACAACTTATTTTCTTTAACACAGTCCAGATAAGAACTGTTATCTCCACCCCCCCACCCCCTTCCTCCTGATTTTTGCATTTTTCAGACGGGTCTGCTCCAATTAGTCCAATTTATCGATGTTCTACTGTATACATAGTAATACTACTATATGGTTAAATTTGTCCAAATTTTAACTGTTGTAGCTGACGTACAAAGCTCTATCTATGTACACAGTTTCTCATTATTTAATATTATCATCACCTTCAGCTTCAAAGAAGTAATGTATATAGTTTGTATTCACTTAAAAAATTAGTCATTGTTATTACAATATTTTTTCTCTCCTAAGCAGACAAATAAATTTTTTGATAAACCTCTTGATATCAGAGGTACATGTTGTGATAGATTCATTAATCATTGTATACTGTACACTAGTGAAAAGCAGTATGGTTGTCTTAGCCTCAATAGTACATTTTAAATATAATCTGTGGCTTTGAGTTACTCATACTGTGATGATTGGGTACTGACTATACTCAATCATTAACTTACAAGTGTGTTAATAACTGTGAATTTAAAACAGAACCTTCTCATGATTTGCAATTTCAGATCAATGTTAGTAAGATAATTAACACCTGAGGAAAAATAATTAGGGTGACAGCGATGACCTATATTTTACCTGGTACTTGTTTGGTAGAGTTGTAGGTGTTATTGTTATAGGGATGAAATGGGTAATGTAGATTCTTTCATATCATCATTTAGTAGCTGTAGCCATACTTAGTTCTAATGCTTGATACCCATGATAGATTGGTTCCTATCTTAGAACCACAGGACAGCTGGGGCCTGTATTAAACTATTATCATGTAAGTAAGACTTGTGCTCAAAGAACTCATGTGCAGTTCTCCTAAGAAAAGTGTTACAGAAATTACAAATCTTAATTGGTTAAGTAATTCATAATTCTTGTTACACTATTTACTTTAACCTGAAAATTAAAAACTGTGTACTCTATGTTGCCGTTAGAAACATAAAGTACTGTATATTTTCACTAGTTTAATCTTGGTCTTAAGATTTTCAATAATATCCAGATATACATTTGTAATTCTTGATACAATATTGATAGCGGTTTCATCTTGTGGCACTGAATTGTTAGGTTCCATTTTTTCTGGAGTCATTACTGTTATTAAGCTAAAAGTTTGAGATGATTGACTTTTATTCAGGTTGTGTAAGCCTCCTCATGAATTACCGGGTATGTTTATTTTTCTCATTCCTATTATTTAGTGCGAAAGAGCAGTGTGAGAAACTTACTTGAGAATTTAAAAAATCACAACTTTCATGCATTACCAGAAATTTCACCACATAGATTTAATGCTTGGTGTATACTGTGTATATTTTTTATTTATTTATTATTTTTTTTTTAAATACTGTATTCACAATGCACTTTACAAAAGGCCATTCTGGACCAAGTATTTTCACCATAGGTGACCTTTTTATTCAAGTGAGTTGTGGTGGAAAAATGGTTATTTTGAAGATATTAGAAGATACAAGAGGGAAATTTAGATTCTCTCTCCTTTCATAGGTGAAGTATTTTGCCCTTATTTTATACCCAGAGGAACATTGCCCTACAGTCTAT